TTTTTCCAATTGCTTTCAGTAAGTTTTGCCTCATCCATCGCAACGTCCTCGATGCTTCAGTATGCCGTGCTTTGCATAGATCATATCCACAGCTCACGCAAATCACACACCGCTTCTTCTATTTAAAACAAAGCCTCACGGGGTGCTGTTAAACGCACAGCCAGAGCTGCGCGCTGCTGAAGCCGATGTGGCCACTATTCCGTTTTATCACTCTCAATTTCTCCAAGTAGCTAACCTTACAGATTTTGTCCAATGTATCAATATACTTAACGTGGTCAGTGTCGGCCGAATTTGTGGCTTTAGATGACATGGTGGCTCAGTTGGTAGAGCATTGGCCTTTGAGCCTGAAGGTCGTGGGGTCGAGCCCCCCATGAGACCTACTTCACAACTCCCACGGATGTCTGCTGTCGTTGTGTCCTTGGTCAAAAGACTGAACCCCACTTTACCTGAAGCCCCTACTGAAAGATCTCAGCTTCTGTGTTCTCACCACCTGTAGGAGGATCAGTGAGGGGCTGGTGCACGTGTGTACTGGGTGCAGCTCTGACTGCCACCTCCCTGACCCAGAAATGGATTAAGGGGAAGAAAGTGTATGGATGGATGACATGGTGACAAATGATCCATGCAAAATAAGCTTGACGCACAACATGGCATTTGCGCAAAGAATTATGGGAATCGTGGCGGAAAACCATCTATTTACCATCAAAACAGAGAAAAATATCTAATTTTTCCAATTTGATTTTTGGCTTGTGTGAAGGGGTGTGAGGCAGGTCGGCCGTGAGCGGGTTGGAGTGCAGTTAAAATAATCAAAAACACAAAGAGGTCGCCGTGGTCCACATATTTTACTTATTTTTTTGGCTTTTCAATAAAAATACAAACAAAAGTGCACACAGGCAATAAAGTGCAGGAGTGCAAATGGAGTGCTTCCTCTCCAGCAGCAGCGCCCAGACTGATGTTTCCCAGGTCCTTTTATTTGGTGCCGACTGCTGGGTAAAACCAAGTTGTAAAAGCAGGGGTGTTAAAATATGCTTAGCTTTAGTAAAACAACTTAAAACTCCATTTACAAAACCCAACCCATAACTCATCTAAAATACCCAGATACCATTTATACTAAAAGCCCTAAAACCAACACCAAGTAATATTAAACATTTTAACTATTAAAATACCCCCTCCAACTCCCCCATACAAAATCCATGTGGTCCTGTGGCCCGGAACCATAAAAGGGGGAGCTCGTTCCTGGTGGGACCCTTTTGCCTACCGGACACAGAAAAAAGTAAGTACACACCACACACCCCACATATACATCTTCACCAAACCCATTTAAAATACACCAACACACACACACTTAAAACACTCTTCAACAGATATTGCACCTATCGCACATAATTTAGGGATTGGCTAAAATAAATGACTGTTTTCCTTTTCCTCCAGGGTCCAGCTGCAGCCAATTACCTGCCAGCACCTCTGGATAAAAACATGGTAAAAAGGAAAGACCTGTTTAATAAATATTTTAAAACCAACTCTGTGCAATGTTCTTTTTGATGTGCAAATATGCTTAAAGTGCTGTGTGCTATAAAGGTGACTTGTGTATTTAAAGTGGCTCAGTGAAGGTGCACTAAGTAACAAAGTCAGTTTGTTACAAGGGGAAAAACATATTTTTACCAAAATGTTGCCTGTAGTTGCTAGCTATCATTCTATGGGAGCTACTACACCCATCACAACTGGGAAAATTGTCTTTGTTGATTTTTTGTGGGATTTTTGTACTCTTGGTCACTTGCAATTTGCAGACGGTCCCTTGCGAATATCAGGCGAAAATCAAACGTTAGGCCAACTTCACCTTGGTTTTTTACCTACCTTTTTTTTTACCTTTTTACCTGGAGGGAAATGAAAAGCAAGAATAGAAGTACAGTAGCAGAGGAAGGAGCGGCCATGTCAGGGGTTAGGGAATTGTTCAACCAAACAAAGAACATTTTAAACAGAGACATTACTAGCACAGGTTGTGTCCATTGTCTTCAGGTTGAGTTTTAGTTTTGGCCGCGTACAGCAATAGTTAGGATAACTCCCTTTGTTGATTTGATATTGTAGTACAGACTACAGACAAATGATCTCGAGATGGATGACAAATGAAACAGCAAGTTTTTTTTTGATAGAGTGCTAATTTTGCGATTCCGGTTTACAGGGTGAAGTAAAGTAAATGGCAACATAAGCATAAGGGTTAGAGGAAAACACATTTTATCACACTTTGACGCAATTTGGTTAAAGCTGAATCATAACACATTCTGGAGCTGGTATTTTCCCACTTCATGTTTTGGATAAATCAACTGCTGATTGGACTGTCTGTCCTATAACATCACATGCATTCTGTGAATTGTTCGTGTCTCGTCTCTACCATTGACACTAAAACACGTATTCTGTCTGTCTGACAGGATCCCAGACTTTGTCATTTTCGTCACACAGTTTCCCTACTGCAGTTTGGGTAACAGAGGGGTTGTCCGTGTTCCTGGAATCAAGATTACCTTTAGCAAGTAAGTAAGTAATGTTTATTTACATAGCGCATTTTAGAGGTCACCCAAAGCGCTTTACAATGTTCAGAGTTCAGATATATTTACATTCTCTCCACACACAGTGATGAAGGAAGCGAGAAATTAAAGAACATATTAGGATATCCTGCACGACAATGTATTCCTATGGCGTAACAGGGATGCTTTGTTGATACAGCTTGACAAGAGCTGAGTGGCTTGTAGGACACAATGTACAAACCAATTACTTTATTTTTCTTTTAAAAATCTACACTAAAGTAAAATTTGGTGTGCCACAAGGATACTCGGCCCAATTCTCTTCACACTCATATGCTGCTATTAGGCAGCATCATTAGAAAGCATGACATTAACTTCCTCTGCTGCACAGATGACACACAGCTTTACCTGTCTATGAAACCAAATCAGAGAGATCATTTGGAAAGGCTTAGTGCCGGCATAAAGGACCTAAAAACAAGGATGACCCTAAACTAGCTGCTCCTCAACTTGGAAAAAACAGAAGTAATCTTACATGGCCCCAATCATCTGTTATCAGATAATCACACTTGATAATGTTAGCGTGGCCCCTAACAACGCTGTGAGGAATCTTGGAGTCGTTATTGACCATGTGGAGGGTCAGAGCTGCAGACCAGCAGTACACCCCAAAAAAGCCACACAAAAGTGTGCTATCGCTAATACTATCACTGAGCTTGCACCAGAAGCCAGCTGCAAAGTTCAGTTATTGTCACAGCGCCTACTGGACTAAACAGAACGACACTCTGTAGATGTAACCACACAAACACACACAAACGCGCACATAAACGCACATACTTATAGATATTTATATAGTCTATTTACTTTGATTTATTGTCATATATAGTGTTTATCGTTGTAATTTTGTTATTCTGTGATTTACTGTTATTGACATAAATATAGTGCCACCCATAGACGGGCCACCTAATGGATACTGGCCATTCTTTCTGCCATAGTTTGTCATGGGCTCTACTTTCAATGTGTAAATTGTACTTTTTGAAATATTTGAGCAATACTTTGTGGATGTGGGTGTGTGTGCCATAAAACGTATTATTTTGCATCAAAAACACTTTCTCATAACTTGTTGTTGCTGTTTTCTAACATGAAAGACACTGGACATGTTTGAGGAGAGGCTAAAGTTAAACTAAATAGTGTTGCAATAACCTTTCTGCAGTTATTCTGCAGTTAAATCACTTTGAACTGGTTTGGTCTTTGTTTTGGCCTTCATTAGTAAATATTATTATCTAGTTTCTTGCTATTACAACATTCACTTTGAAATGGTTAGTTTATTCTTGTAGTACCCCATAGACATGTCTTTTCTGGTATGTCTGCAATTTCGCTTATGTTTCCTTTTTAACAATAATATGAATAATTCATTCAAAATATCACTATAATTACATATCATATGTCAATTGTGTTAAGAGTAATGTTATAGCAATGTTATTCGGCCCAAAGACCATGGGCCTCCTTAAAATCCCTCTTGCCCTCCTACAGAATTAAAGATACTGTATGTCTAGCTTCATCAATATACATACAGTCAATGTTTGAAACTGATAATTTGATTACTAACCATATTTACATGAAACACTGCATATGGAGTATAGTATATAGGGCATATCTAACAAGCCAAGTGTATTGTAAAAGACACACATTGTCACTATAAATTACATTTATTATTCATTTCTTCAGCGGGTATCAAACAGTTAAAGCATCAAAAATAAAACCCATGAATAATTACAAATGAAATATTATTCTTTTTGGGGGGGTAAATACCATTGCACCATGTCCCAGTATCCCTTCCAGACAAAGAAAATGCCAAAACTAACAAGCATGCAACGGCTTCAAATTTATAGTAAACAATATGTTCATCAGTAGTTTCCTGAGTTACAATGTACAATTTAATTAGCTGAATATAACATGACAAATTTTGTAAAAGCAAGAAAATCAATCTGTTCTCTAAACATAGCTAGAACCTTGCATATTTGGATGTATACATTGAAGAGTATGTTTGCTCTTTGGACGATGCAGGCAGCATGGGTAAGCCTGACTGTGGGTCCTTCTTGCAGCGATCAAGAGCTTGCTTATAGTTGATCTTCTCCTTTGTGATTGGGTCAGTAATATCTTTAGAGTAAGCTGATTCTGACTGCAGCTCTCTAAGCAGAGTGCTGTCAATCATTTTGGCACCAATAGCATCCATAATGCTCACTCTGCTGCTATTTCTTGGATCGACTAGACCTCCAGTCAGGTGCTGTACTTCCATGTAACGTATGGCTGTATCCTTTGGCATCCATCCTTTTTGGATAGCTTCTCCAATAGACAAAACCTCTCTGGTCATAGGGTCTTCAACTCCTGTAAAAGCCTTTTGTGCATTAAGCAGCCTTTGTGTTTGACTCTCATCAATAAGGCCCCTAGACAATGCCTTGTGAACTGTGTATCTTTCATTGGTTGTGATATCTATAATTCCTCCTGTGGCTGCTTGAGCCTCCAGTAGCCTCTGAGCTGTAATGAGATCTATCATTTTACGCATAGTGGCACTGCGTATAGTGAAGCAGGTGTCTGTTTTTGTATCCATTACTCCAGAAATTGGGAGTTCTCCTTTCAACAAAGCTGGAGCTGACATGACTGTTGAAGATGTTTGCTGAGTAACAAACGAGTTGATTTGTGGTTGTTTATTGTCACCAGCAACAAGCAAAGCAAATTCTGCAATGGGCAGCTTCCCTTGTTTATATTGTTGCAAGTCATATTCTGTCAAACGGCCTGCCTTCAAAGCATCTTTTATGGAGTACTGCTTGCCACTCTTGCGGTCTTGCAGCATAGTTGTTTCACCATCAGGCCCCATTGAAGTCACCTCTTCCCAGTCACATTCCAGTTGCTGAAGGTGAGTATATTGTGCACGATCTATGAGCCCCTGTAAATATGCATCATAAGGGGACATGTCTCGGCCTGTTTCTGGGTCCAAAATGGTGATCTTTGTGGAAACATTGGTCTCTTTGGTTCGTGTCTCTGCATTTTCTTCTTTTTGCAGACTAAGGGTAAGCTCTCTAATGATAGTATCTTTTGAGTGGATCTTGTCTTTCTCATTGAGGATATCGTTCTCTAGTCGCTGGACATCAGATTCCATCTTAATGCTCCTTTGTCGCGACGTCTGTGTCCTCTCACTCATAAGTTTGCTGTGCTGCTGGAAGGACAGGCTGACATCATGGCTCTTGGTTTCTAGTGTCCGCATCTCTCGGATAAGGTCCTCCTTCTCTCTCTGCATGGCATCTCTGTTCATAATGAGTGTTGTCTCCTCTCGGGAGGTGCTGGATTTGCTGCTCATCAGGAGATTGATCTTGTCCTTCAGCCGCCTCAGTTCATCTTCTACATCTTCTCTAGCAAATCTTTGCTGTGTCACTTGTTCACGAAGACGCTCACGTTCTGCTTCCACTGCCTGGTCCTTTTCAACACGTACAATCTCTTTGTACACTGTCTTCTCACCTGATTTCTCCTTCTGCAAAATCTCCAGCCTCACTGTAAGGTTACGAATCTCTCTTTGAAGGCGTAGGACATCACTTGTTTCCTTGTCCATATCAACTCGTAAACCATTTGTCATCCTTTCTAGTTTGGGATCTCTCTCTACCTTCATCACTTCCTCCACCACAATGCTTTCTTCAACAGGCGGTGGAGCATTTTCCAGCTGCGTGATCCGAAGCCTGATCTCTCGCAACTCAGATTCAGCTTTAATCCGTTTTTGCCTCTCATCACTCTCTCGAAGGATCCTTTCTTTATCTGCGACCCTTGTTCTCAGCTGTTGCAATTCAAGGTCTGTCTGACGCCGAGTCTGAATTTCTTCATCCAAACTCCTACTGAGGCGGTCATGCTCATGAATCTGCCGTGGGTCTTTTTGTAAACGTACGACTTCTTGCATTACAATCTTTTCCTCTGGTTTCTGACGTTCAAGTACAATGTATTTATTTTTCAAATCATACACCATCTCCTCAATGTTACGCCTCATCTGTGCTTCCTCTCTCATTTCTTTTCTCAAACGATCAGCTTCTTTCTCCAACATTGGGTCATTCTCATATTTGATCACTTCTCTTGTGACTAGTTTAGTTTCAATCTTTGACTTTTCTATCTTCAATTCATCTCTCTCTTTTCTGAGCAGCAGCACCTGGTCTTGGAGGGAACTATATGTGCTGAACAAGTTGTGGGCTTGACTGTTTAACCTGTGTATTTCTCTCTCATTCTCAGGACTGCGTTCCTCCTTGATCACTTCTTGAAGAACTTCCTTATGTTCTATTTTTGGTTTCACGGACCGGAGTTGATTGATCTCTGATGTGATTTGGGTGATTTCTCTATCTGTATCACTGCGCTGCTTGAAGAAATCTTGTATGTCTTTTCTCAGACGCATTATTTCTGATTCTGTGTTCGGATCAATCCGGTAGATCTCATTAACAATTTCCTTCACTTCAATTTTTGGTTTCAGATCTTGCACTACTCTGTAGCGACTGTGCAGCTCAGTGACCTCTCTGGACAGAGCGCTGTTTTCATTCCTCTCACTTTCCAAGTTCACCCGGATTGTTTCAGATTCAGTAATGAGTTCTGGGTCCTGCTCAATCTTCTTCACTTCTTTTGTAATGACCTTGGGCTGAATGTTGGGGATAAGCCTCTCCAGGGAGTTGATCATGCTCCGTGTTTGAAAGATGTCATCATTGAGCCTTGTAATTCTGTTGCCTTCATCTGAGATCTCAGTCTGAAAAGTCCTCACTGACTTAATCATCTCTGGATTTTGCTCCACTTTCACCACTTCCTTCTTGACCACCCGTTCTATAATAGGTGGCCTCTTTTGCTGCAAAATAGTTATCTCTGTTCTGGCATGAACCTGTTCCCCATCTCTCACCCTGATTTCATCCCTGAACTTTGAAATTTCACTCCTGATTTTGGCAGCCTCTATGTCAAGCTGGGGATCTCTCTCAAATTCCGTCACTTCTTTGGTCACCAATTTACGTGGGGCGTTTTTTATGTTGTCCTCAACTAAGGTAATTCTACTGCTAGATAGCTCAATCTCACTCTGGGTCGTTGTGCGTTTCAAAGTCTCTTCGTGGAGGATCTTCTTGAGGTCTATCAGATCACTTTCCAGTTTCGGATCTCGATAATATTGCAGCACTTCTTTTTCCTCCACACGCTCTACACCTCTGCGACTTTTCAGAGACAACATCCTATCTTGGAAGGACTTAAGATTGTTCTCAGTGTGGCTGGTTCTCTCTTTCTCGTCTCCAAGCTCTCTCATCAAACTACTTAATTCTGAGACGCTTCTTTGCTGACTTTCAAGCTGGACTTGTTGCTGAGCCACCATTTGAACTTTCTCCTCATTCTATTGAGAAAAACAACATATTAGTCATCCTGATTTTTAAATCACAAAACACATAAACTGGCCTCTGCTCTTACTTGTACATTGAGATTCCTCGCAAGATCCATTTGTTTTTGCCGCTGCGTGTTCTCAGCAGTGGCTTCAGAATAACGATTGAGCAGATTTTTCTCCTATAATAGAACATATCGTTTACATTTTTTTTCAAATATCTGCTCTGCTACCTAAAAAGAAATAAGAAAAAGTACCTCTAGCTGAATGGCACTTGCGAGAGTTGGCACATACGGTTTCTGTACAACTGTGGTGTTCATGTCCTCCAGTGTCCCATTGTATTTATCCACATTTGTCTCATATTCCTGCATTGAAATATTTAAATAATGACTTACTGAGTCATCAGTGAATGTAGTAAAGTAAAGTAAAAGTGAACAATTTAACTATCATCTGAATATGCGTAATGATAATAAAAGGTAAAGCTTTACATTGAGAACATTCTGAAGGTCCAGAGACAAATCTGACACTCTGTCAAGATCATCGCCTTTTCTTTTCAGGTCATCAATAACTCTCTGCAATGAAAAAAGTTCTTACTATCCTTTAACATCTTTTATACCACAAGAAGAGTCTTCATGACATTTACCTCCTGAGAGCTCTGCTTTGCACTGATTTGGGACATGTCGTCATAGGGGCTTATCTGGTTGGTCGGCAGGTTATCCAAGAAAGAGTTGAGTGATTTGGCGGTGCTTTGGAATTCTTGGTCCTTGATACCGGCATCTTGCAAAAGGTTCTCCCTAAAATGTATAAAGGTAGGCTGTTTGATTTGTTTTACTTTCATTTACAACATCTGGCGCAGGAAGACTGAACTGGAGGACACTTACCTCTCATTGAGCTGGTTGCTGACATTTGCGTAGCGTGTCTGCAGTTGTTTGACGTCAGTGCGTTGGCGCTGGATGTCAGGGCAGTACTCTTGGTAGCTCTGCTGCAGAGAGCTGCACAGCTGCTCTGTGAGCTCTAAGTCTTGGCTCAACTTCTTCATGTCGCCTTCAGCTGCAGCCACATCTCTTTTCTGACTCTAAAAGTGACAGCCATATAATTGTTAAGAAGCGTTTGTACTAATTATTATACTCTGAAGATAAATTGTGTTTTTAATCTTTTGAGTGTAGCCATTACAACAGCAAATACAGTACAGTACAGTACTCCTTTATCTATGCTTAGTCTAGGCCTGGTTAGTATTATTTTTGTGAATCCCTAAATTAGGCATAATTCAGTCTGTATTTTGATCTTTTTTACTTGAGGATGTTCTTGCTAAAATCATTTGTCTCCAGTATGAAGTAAACCAAGAACTTAGAATGTGTATACAAGATCATGGATTAGGTTTAAACCCCACCAAAATGTGAGTATAGTGCCCAAAGCTTTTGAATCCAAAAGTAAAGGGAAATCACATTGTCATGAAATGTTCATATTTACAATTAAAATACATGTTAGAGAAATCAGCTCACCCGAATGTCTTCAACATGCTTTTGGATTGCGTTTGGCTCATCACTTATGGGACCATCCGCACTTAAGTTTTTCTCCAAGTTTGATACGATGCCATCTGTTTTTATAATCTGCTTCTCCAGGTTCAGAGATGCATTTGCTCTAGTAACCAAAACAGACATTGAAAATCAATTCTCTCATGGCTAGACTCTCAAAGACTTACACCATTACTTTTTAGCGAAGAGATCAGAAAGTCCAGCAAGGTCATTCTGTTTGTTGTTGAAGGAGGACAGTTGTAGAGGCAGTGAAGAGGATGGGACACTTGACAGGAGTGGTTTCAGATTGGCCTGGGCAGCGAGTTTCTCCTGCTCCAGCGCCTTCAAAGCTCTAGCTGCTTCCTAAACACAGAACCAAAAAAGGGTCAGTAAAACGTTCATCCATGTTCAAAATGCATTATTACCCTCATTATGCATTTTTGATTAGGACTCATGGAAATGAAACTTTGATTTGTGTGCATTTTTCAATAGTCATGTGCACCAACTTCAACACTACTGATACATTTGACCCGTTGTTCAATTATCAACAGTCAAATCTGGTTGCTACAAATTATATTTATTTTATTTCACGTTATTTTATTTCACAGGACAGCGCATTATTTCACAGGACAGCGCATTATTATATATAGGTACAAATATAATTCCCGTAGAGTATACCTCCTGGTCTCTCAGTTTTTTGGCCAAATCCCCTGTGGGGTCAGACCGGTTCACTGGGGTCCGTAGGCGGCTCAACATGTCCGCTTCAGCTAGAGCTAACTCGCTGTCCAGTTTATTCAGCTGATCAGCCATGGCTAATGCTTTGGGGTCCAGAGGGGAAGACGACACAGGAGCTGGAGAAAGAGAACATGTTTTTAAAGAATTCAGTTAATTTGCCATTTACAGTTCAAAACAGACAATATAGAGAAAACTCATAGAAAATTATTAAAAACAAGCACACATTAAAAGCAATTAACGAAGAAAGAAGAAAGATATATTTATAGTATTTTTTTTAAATTGATACAATAACTAAGACTTTTTTCTTTAAATACAGACCGGCTTTTTGAGCGCTGGAGAAATCTTTTTTGTGGTTCTTGAGTGATGCCTCCACAGTTGCCCGTTTGTTCTTGATTTCGGCTAGTTCAGTGCCCAGTCTGGAAAAACAACAAAAATCTCAGCATGTTTGTCTTGTATTTGTATATATTATATTTAGATTTTTTTTTCTGCAGCACGTACAGGTCCACTTTGTCAATGGCTTCCGGGTCTGGAGGCGGCATCTGGAAGCAAACTCCAGGGAGGGTCTGTGTCACTCCCGCAGCTGAGATGACGTCCCAGTTCTCATCAGGAATAGACTTCAGGGTGAGCTTCTCCCCTCTAATCAAGGAACCCTAAATACAAAGCATTTATGTTTATATATTTTTATATATATGTTTATAAAATGTTCTTGGACGCTTCCCAAATGCTTATAATCTGAGGTGTGTCTATGCATTATAGAGTATGAAGAATTAAGCCTTGTTTAAGCTACATTTGGGGAACAAAAACCACAACATGCAGTCTATCCTATTAGAAAACATGCCATTTTTTATATACGCAGAGCTGATTTGTCTGAGTGAGAGCTGATCTAAAAATGTAAAGGCAAAAATTCAATGCATTTAAAAACCAGTGATAGATCCAGTTTTTGAGGACGAGGGACTTGATGAGCTGCAATTTGCAATGTAAAGAACAATATACTACTCCGACAAAGTTCAAATTCAGTAAAAACATGATATTTAGCTGTGCATACCTCTTAAGAATTGTAATTTTTGTTTTTGATGTACAGCTTTTATGTGCTGTGTTTATCCATGTTTTATCTGTGTATGATTGTAATGTTTCCTTTCTTGTTTGTAAAGCACTTGAGTTGCCAAGTTCAACTTATAATACAAATAAGCAAGCCCTGCCGCACCTTTGAACCTTTACACGATGCCTAAAGGGTTCATATTATTGCTGAGATCCAAACAATTCAAAAACTTCTCAGGGAATCTCACATGACATAGACAAACACAGTTGTCAATTTAACGCTGATACTCTCTGAAATTAAGTATTTATTAAAGGTGGAGTACTTTGAAGCAAGCCGAATAAATGTAGCAGTAAGACCCATGTCACTATTTACTCGTTCTAAAACTGTGGATCTATCACTAGTTCCACATATTTTTGGCCTCCGTCACATCTTTAGACCAGATTTTTCAGTGAAAAAGAGAGTACCAGCCTTCACTCAGCCAATCCGCTCTGAGAAAGTAAAAGAGACAATGTTTTCTATATAGTAAGATCACAGAGATAGTTCGGTGAAATTCTGAAAACTAAAATGTCATACAAAATATCATTTTATTCTGTATTTTAACTTAAAATACAGAAATAATTGTAACCATATATTGGTTCCACATGCATGTGAAACCAATATATGATAACGACGATGAGTATGGCCGACAGTCAATTTTCAGAATATTCTTTTTGATATAATTTTAGCTGTGAAGTGGTCCGTATTAAGTCTATGAAGTATTAGTTTCACATTGTAAGTTGAATTACAGAAGTAGTAACTGGACTTTTGAACCATTCTACGAAGCCTTAATGACAGGACTGCCTTACGTCCTCACTGTCCCAGTCGCACAGAGACTCCACGGTGATGGGGCGAGAGGAGGTTCCACGCCGCAGCTTCAGGGGAGTGATGCTGGTGCTGCGCCGCCTCAGGTCCGCCAAGACCTGCTCACTGTTCAGCACGTCATTCTGCTCCGCCTTTACACAAAAAATTATTATTCATACATTTTGCCACTGATGCTGATTTAATGCTGTCTTAGAAACTGGAAGTGGAAGTTTTATACTGTGCTTTTTTATGTTATAAAAAAATTTTCACACTTTGACCATAGCTAATTCCATATTATCCAATTACAAAAATACAACCAAGTTGCATCAGGCCTTTCTAACATTATGAGGTGTGCCTCTGTACCAGACCAGAAACACTTACTGTAGCAGACGAACGGTTTAGCCATCTCTGCTACTATACTAGTACTATTGCAAAAACTAGGAGTGGATAAAAACATAATATGTAACATTTATCAGCCTAAACAATGCTTTGCTAAATACATTGTATTAGTAAATATATACATAAGATGCCATTTTCACTATATTTTTTAGAATAAAGTATTTATCTAAAACAATTATTTTAGCTAAACAAATCCACTTGATTCTTTTCCCTAATCATTTTTAATCTATCTATATTGTATCTTGCATTAACGACAGAACGCAGTTTGTAGAAACGTGCTAAAGGGTGACTTGTGATTGTGTAACTTGTGTAACTTACCTCAAGCTGCATCAGAGTCTCATAGTTGCTCTTTTTGGAAATCTCCTTTGGATCCAAAGTCTTGTTGAGTCGGGACAGAGTCTCAGAGAGCTGGTCACAGTCCAACTGATACTGAAACCAAAGAAGAAAAGACATGTAGATATATATATATTTTAAAACTATTCTCATATAATTATTCTGAAATCATGTTAATTTACCAAAACAGATGTTTTTTTTATTTTTATAACTTTTCAACAACGTGCTATGAACCTGAACTGGATTAATTCCAAAAGAATTTCTATATCAGACAGAAGAAGGATACCGATGTTAGCACCTTGAGATGGTTATCCTACTTTTGTCTAACTCTTCAAAGACAAGAGGAACATTCTTAAGCTCAAATGAAACTAATAGATTGATGACCTAATGAGCGATACCTTCTTGTATTCCCCCACATTATCCAGATGTGTTTCCTGGCAGATACACAGGTTTAGGAATTGCTGCCACTCGTTCCGAACATCATCTCTTTGAGCCTAGAAACAAAAAAATACTTAACACATTTTCTATTTCTATTCACACCTAATTTTTGGAATATGTGTGTGTTTGGTGTGACTGTACCGTGATGGTGGCGCTGGCCGGATGCTTTAGCTCCACGAGTCTGTCTCCTTCATCTTGAAGCTTGTTCACCTCTGCTTCATGTGACAGCAAACTGTTGTTTTTGAAGTTCTGGTGGATAAGACGTTTTTTTTTAAATTGTTGACAAATCTCAGATACTAATGTCACAATTGATCTGCATAAGGCAGCTGTACTTTCTAAAGTTTATTTTCAAACCTGAACTTAGCTAAGTACATTTCTAGCCTCGTGATTGGTTTAGTTCACATAAAAATAATATGTTCCTCTCGGGCTCTCTCATGTTTCGGCTCTGTTTACAGAGCATTACAGAGCATTACACTATACAGCAGTTGGAAACAGTTGGAAACTGTGTGCTTGGATTAGCAAACAGTTACATTGGATAATTAATGAACCAATTAAATAATACATATTGTCATACTTATGTGATTATGGTGATATTTGACTGGTTTCTCTCCTTGGTTAAGCGTTCTTTGATTAGTAATAAGTATCTACTCGAAATGCATTAACTAAAATCCAAATCTACAATATCATACAGTAAGCTCATATCATAACTTAAACTTGATTTCCCTCTTTACACCTGCATTATTTAGTAAATGTACTTTTATTTGAAGATAAACGTTGAGTACTTTGATAGAGATACTTTGTGTAATTCTAATGTATTTGAATTATTTCATTTGCTGTGCAGCACTTTGTAAACAGTGTTTATGAATTGTGCTTTGCATATCAAAAAGTGGATTGGAACACTGAAAACCAGCTGGTCTGATGTGGTTGAGAAGCACTGACCTCGTATTGCCGCCGTACGTCAGGCGGGTCCACCATGCGGTCGCTCCAGTCTTGTTTCTTGATCTTGTCCTGCTCCTCTTTAAGAAACGCCAACTCTTTGTTGCAGCCATGCATGTACTCGTACAGGCTGGACAGGTAATGCCCACGCCACTTTGAGTTTTCCTAAGGTGAGAAGAAAACACGTGACATGGTTCTTGATTAAATACATGCATCACAAAGCCCAACAATACAGCCCTAAAGCTTTTGTTTTTTGCGGTTAACACCATATTGGAATTTGTCTGCTGCATTCTTGCATGCTGTAATGCCATCAGGGCAACGGGGACTTAACTCCAGATGTTGATGCTCAGTTAGGACTACAGGAGGATTTTATTTATGGTGCATGGGTGATCTATAGTTAATGATATCTACACCGTAATTTAACCTTATTTCACATGTTATTTACAGTAGAATTTGGACGTTTACGAACAAAAAAGACTTTCCTCACTGTCAGTTATTTTTGAAAGCAAGAAAGCATTTTACACTCAAAATGCAAATGTTTAAACTGTAATGCATGATGATTTTTAGCCATTAGAGCCTTCATCATATCATGTTTTGTTTCATTTCATGCAATAATCATTTGGACTTCTGCAAATTGAGTGTGCAATGCTTTCTTGCTTTTTGAAAATGTTCTCACATTTACACCATTTTTGTGTGTGTGCAATACTCACTCTTTCATCATTCGTTTTGGCTCAATTACAAAATACAGAGAGATTTATTTTCTTTGTAAGTATTTATATTACTATTAAATAATCTCAAGGAAGCGATAAAATCCAACTTACGAGGATATTGTTGTACTGTTTCTTAAAGGCTGTGTATGATTCCTAAAACCCAAAAAAAAGAATTTGTCAGATTAAAATGGGATTATGCAAATAAGCTTCTTAATTGGAATTGAGTTGTGACCTTGCTGCCGGCGGAGCTGACGCAGAGCTGTGGGCTGTAGGCCTCCACTTCTTTATGTAAAATGTTGTGTGCTGCAATCTGCCGCTCCAGCTCGGCCATCGTGGGGCCAAACTTGTCTGCATCTGCCAGCTGTTTCTGAAACGCAGATAAAATACACATTGATCATTATATAAACGTCACACATTTCACATATGAGTCTGTTACCAGTCTCCATCGAGAGGCAACACTTTTACAGCATGGCATTAAACATATGAACAGTCTCGCCTCTAGACAGACCTGGCACATAACTTGCCTGTATTTTGTTGTATCTCCACAAACGTTTAGTTCCGTACAGAGGATCATTTCAGGCAAAGTAATAACATCTCAATGGAGAAGAGAGAAACCCATCGCAAAAGGGTCTAGTTCCCAAACTACGTTAATTTGATCATTGATTAATACTAAAGAATTGTATACATTATGCAAAAAACACATATTGCCTTCATTACATTTAGTATGATTTGATAATGTAATGTAAGGATATTTAATACATTGACTTCATAATTATCAGAACAAAGTTGGAGGATTTTAATATCTATGCGTTTGGCATAAAAGTATTTTAAACCAAGCACTATACGTTTATTATTTAAATTGTCCATTTAGGTCCATCAAGTAACAGGAGGCACCTGGAAGAGTTGACAGTTGATGATCCATTGTTCACATTTATGGACAATTATGGACAATTATGGACTTTTATGGACTTTTATGGTCATTGGTACCCATGCTACCCAATGGACCAATGGGTGTGTTTTATAAATGAGTTCTAATCGACCATTTTTGGCACATCCTGGTGTTGTGACTTTGATACAAAAACATTCTGTGTTATACTTTTCAAAGCGAAAAGAAAGAAAAAACTAGAAACAACGTACTTGCTTGTTGGCAAAGACAGGCCCCCAGTCAATCCTGGGCATGAGAGACACGTCGTCGATCTGCTCGTAGATGTCTCTGTAGCAGCCACAGTCCTTCAGCCAGCGCTCGTGAAGAAGAATGACGCTGCCAGACACAAGAAATACAAATATTTACATGACATTGTATGAATAATATGAATAAATGAAATATTACAAATTATCATAATCAAATAAGGATTCAAGTGAAATCAGTGGTCAGTGAATTTAGCATGATTTGATTTTGTTCAATTATTATTATATTATTAAATTCTATTCAGGAAAGTGGTCATTAGTTGATTCCTCTCATTTTTAAGGGGTTCCGACTGAAAGGTTTGGGGGCCCCTGAGTTAGGGTGAATCTGCAGCTTATGAAATGTTCACTATAAAATAATGTAACATTGTTTTCAGTCACAAATACTCACTCGCTCTCTATGTCGTGAGCCTGCGGATGTTTGAGCTTCTTGGCTTTGTCGACATCCAGGAAGAGGTCTTTGAGGAGACCCTCGGCTTCCCCCAGTTTATCTGAGATCTCAGTCTGATGCAAAAGTGGCTTCTCTAGCTTCTCATTCTTATCATCCTGTAAAAAACGTTAGTTATCAGCATAATTATATCAATTATAAAAACTTCCATCATGCAGTTGTGCTTTAAAGTTTACACACCAATAATGTTGATAAATTTTAGCCATATTTCAGAGATTTTCAACAATAAAGCTATTTATTGTCAAACAAAATTTACTATTTTCAAAATATAATGAAACAACACTGATTCTGACCCTGATTGTCCCTGATGGCCCCTGTAACAACTGTGATTGCCTGGAGTCTTTTAGCGGTGGTTGTGGATGAGGTTCTTTATCCTTTCAGATGGCAAAGTGCCCCCAGTTCTTGTAGTTTCATGAACTATATGTTTGAGATCTCCCCAGAGTGGCTCAATTATGTGAAAATTCATTTGAAAACATATATGGACATTGCTATATGCCCCCTGTTTTATTATTTCAGTGTCTTTGAGCTCATACCACTGCCAGCAGGTCTTCAGCACGGAGGATGTCCTTCTCCACCTGGTCTGCATTCTTCTGCATGAGCTTGATCAGTGCGGCCAGGGCATTGGCTTCGGCCCTGCAGAGAAGGACCAGCGATTAGAAGATGAGGTCTGTACTGACACTATCAGCGCTGTTTAACCAGAATAGTCTGAATATTGTGCCTAGTACCCATCACATATGCACCGTGTTTATTCCAATATAAACCTTAGCATTCACACACAATTATTTCATCAGAGAGCACACATTTAAAATGGTTGGTCTTGATAAAAAGTAAAACAAACATTTGGGAAAGTACAACTCTGTGTTGTCCCATAAGTCACATTAAGTAGACTTTACAATACATTATATACCCTTTTAAACTCGATCAGATCTTCATTATAGTTTTTCTTGGAGAAGGACTTCTTAATTACACTAACAGCTGTAACTCAGATGTCAAATGTCTGGATTAAAAAAACTAAAAAGAGCCCTGTGAATCACTTTGGGCTTAGTGAGAGGGGTACTCTCTCACTTTTCTGCCTGAAAAAGCTGACGTGAAAGAGGCCAATAGAAGCACGTGGATACTTGTTATAGAAGATCATTAAACCAATCTATGTATCAGGTTTAAAAACATCGTAGACCAGGGCTTTGGGAACACCAGGTGCCACAGTGGGCGGCTGCAGCTGTAGTGCCACACTCATCATTTGTCCTTGTGTCCTGAGGCAAGACACTTGACCCACATTGCCTAGAATGAGTCTGGTGTTAGTGAATATAATGTTAATAATCATGTTGGTAGTGATCGGAAGGGCTGAGGGCACATACCGGTTGCTTCACTTCAGTCTGCCCCAGGGTAGTAATAGTTTGTCTGGAGTGAATGAATATTGCCACATCTTTGAGTGTCCAAAAAGCGATTATGAAACCGATGCATTAATACGATTATTATTAACGCTTGACAAAAATATTTGCTTTTTGACAACATTATTATAACAATTATGGTTTAATACACATTCATGAGTCACAGTGTAATTACTCATTTTAGTGGGTGTAACTCGTTTGTCAGTGCCAGCAGATGTAGTTTCGCCTCCTTCTTGCTGTTCACTCACGTCTTCCTTTTATCTACTTCAAACACTGAGCCATTGACGTGGCCCTGCACATAGTGACAGAGGGAGTGACAGTCCCAGTCACTGAGGAATGGAGGGCATTTTAGGCATGATTTGGGTGTGGTTAAAATCATCAATCTTCACCCTGAACTGACACCCACCTACTTTTTAAGACACATAAAAACCTATTGAACATCACTAGAGCTTTCCTTTACTCACTCAATTCAATGTCTGAAATAAAATACTTAGCTTTTCTATTAATGAACAAGTTTGTGTTCAATGTATATTTTTATGTAATTGTTTTTATGCTTTAAGAGGGTTAATTGCAGTCATAGTAGTAGTATTAATAGTCGTAGTGGTATTAGAGGTAGTGTTAAAAGTTGTAGACGGGAAACATTCTCCAGAGAAATCTGCTGAGCTCCAGAGGACATTACAAGTATTATTTGCATAATTTCTCAAAAAGAATGGTTTGATTGCAAAAAGCTAATAAATGTACATGTAGGGTTTTCTCAATGATACAGTGGTCAGTTTAAATTCTATCCAAATTACTGCATTCAATTACAAAATCTTGGGCTGAGATAGGAATGGGTGAAAACTGGTTTTGATCACCATAATGTAACTTTGAGCCATCAATGATGAGACAAAGTTTTTACACAAAAGTAAAAACATGTTTTTACTTGATACAATAAACAGATCAGTACGTTAAAGTCGCGTTTGGATTTCTTTGCTCTCAAAACAATGTGTCTCTCAAGCCAAAGCCATTCCTCAGTCTCAAAGACACATCGTAGTAGGTCATAATATGTATAAAGCAAGTGAGATTTCCGGTTTGACACAGGCTTGAGGAGATATCGAGCCAAGCAGGAATGATGACTGCATACTTGTGTCTACCTTGAAGTATTCAGGAGGAGCATCTTTGGTATGTGTAGGCATACCGTATGTAAACTGTGCAACAATTCATTCATTTTATTGCTTAAATAAATACAAAATTCACTGATCCAGCACCACCTCACATCCAAGAACAAACATCATGTATAATGTAATACAATTATAATCAAAATACAAGCACTGATGTCCTAATGTTTCAGATGCCAAGAGTTTAATGGACCCAGACCAACGCCCAAATGATGGAAAGAAACTGCCCAAGCTGTCGGACCAGGGCAGGGCCAGGGCGAGGTCACCCTACAGAGCAGTCAGTACTACTATGACAGATGTGGTACACTCCAGCAGGTTTGAAGGGAAGGACTGGGAGGAATGTTCTCGTTTCATAAATCTATTGCAACAATTTACTGCTGTAACTTTCACCAAATGAATGAACTTCACACATGTTGCTTCAAACTAATAATTTCATCAATGAAACCATATCATATCAATGATAACATTAAAGTGAATACGCCAATAATTGATATTTAATGACATCTGGATAGGATTTGAAATGTCTCTACGCTGACTACTTCTGAAACCTGTTCTGAGATAGATCTTCTGGATGAAACACGAACTACATCATTTTATCCTAACTTTTTATCTACTTTTGAATATGACCATGATTATGCTTTTGAGTCCCATATGTGTTCATGGTTGGAACTTATTTAACGAATGCCAATGAAAACAAAGAGATATTAAATACTGCACCCATAGCCCAATATTTACAGCTCCAACACATAATATTGTCACAAAAGTTTTGAAAAAGGGATTTCATTTGAATTTGGTGCAAACTCATTTAACAACAACTTGTAACAACCTGAAGATCCTCCAGGTGCACAGAAATAGAGAGAAAGAGGACATTCATTGAAGAATAGAAACATGACACAGTATAGCAGAGCGAAGAGGGGACATGACCGAGATACAGTGTCACCAAGAGCACACTCACGTGTTGATCTTCCCCGACATCTTGAGGGTGTTTTCATTTTTCTTAGGCATGGTGGCGGTTTTCGTGGGCCACAGAGATCCCACTCAGTTGTCCTGTGTTCAGCTGTGGTCCCGGTGGCTTTGCTGTCCTAGTCTCACACACACTGCTTCTTTGGGACAGTTTGAGGCTGTCAGCTCCTCCCAGGCAGGTTAAACAGAGTGACACCGCCCAGACATCCACGGGACCGGCCCAACCTGTTCTCTCCACTCTCACCTGATCCCAGGGCTCCAGTGGACAGGGCACAGGACCACTGGGGACACAGCAAGTAGAGCTCACTAACCACTGATGTAGTTTATTTGAGATGTGATCAGGCAGGTTTGGATCACTTTTGTGTTCAGTATCACAGATAATATGTAAAAAAAGCCCATCACAGAGAGAGACTCTGGAAATTAGTATAAAAGTGTAGTTACAAAGTTAACATCAAAATGGATTTTGTCCAGTGAACATTTGTAACATGGTCCTGGTCGAATGAGGGATTACATAACTTTCCAGAGAAAAGGAGTAACATTGCAGAGAATTGACAAAAATGAGCTAAAGGGCCCCTTACATTATGATTAAAAAGTAGCTGATACAGCCAACAATAGATTCTTATAATCGTAAATAGAAAACACATAAAATAAAATAATCAAAAACTCTGGAGTCAAGTCCCCTCATAAAGGCCCTCATTTATGAAACTTGCGTACGGCCAAATCCGGGTGTAAATGAGGCGTATAATTTACACTTTCGGCATTTATCAATCTGGACGTGGGCGTATGGTACGCACAAAATGTACACCAAGTCAGTAGGTGGTGTACATTTTACACCAATTTCAACCTTCACAACACGCCAAAACACGCATGAAATTCAAGATTTGGAAAACAATAAACATATTCCCAGTCTGGCAAAATTATAAGCTGCGTTTCCATTGAGCATCACATTTCAAAATTTGAATTTGCGCATCAGAAAAACTCTAACACTCTGGAAACACGCAAACTTTGAATAAATCACAGATCATGATACGTTCATGATGAGGACCCTCTTCTGTTTCTTTGATTTGAAATCTGACTTGTATGTGTATTATTTTCTTCTGTATGCTTTGCGTTTTGTGATCCTGGTTTGTGAAAGACCCTGTACAAATACACTTGACTTACTCACTTATGTAATGTAATGTAACTAACTGTGGGGACGGGCTAACGGGCAGTGGCTCTTTGGGAAGTGCCGCAGGTGCCACAGAGGTCCCACCACACTCGCCATATGTGGTGCGCGTCATTCGGACGTTTTGGATCCACAGTTCCTCTGTGATCCTTTCTCTCACAGAGATCGCTCCATTGCATTCACAAGAAGATGCCGCTGACGCTTGACCCGGTTAATGATGAGAGCCACCACTGAGATATTAATATTCATTCTTCATTCATTCATTTCTAAAGTTCAAGAGAGATGAGTGCTGCAGTGGTCCCATCCTCGCTTCATGTTTTTTTTTTACATAAAATGTGTTCTCCTAAAATTTGACATTTTCAAGCCCGTAACAAAGCAATGTCTTGTATATTTCATTATCCCATAATTAATTATTATAGTAATTATTTCACCACATTGATAATTCAAATGGTCTCGGCCCAATAATTTGTTTTTATTGAATATGGGTTTGGATAGTGTTTTGAACTTTTTTTTATTATTATTAACAAAACACTCGTTACTTCCAGAGAAGTCATATTACTCATCCATTCATTTCAATGTTGTTGTTTGGTAACCAACAGTTGTTAAATCTCCCTTTTCAAGGTGCTGGTCTTGGATTGGTTCTGGACTGGCTCTGGTTCTGAGCTGTGTCGGGCTTGGTTTTTCACCAGATATGTACCATAGCAACCATAGCAACACACAGTTAGTATTTACCCTGGAAACTGTATTTCAAGTTATATTAATCAATTTAAGCACTTATTATTAGTGAGTAAAGGTAAAAAACAAAATTCAAAACGTGTAATTGACTTAACTTATATGAAACATTTTTGGGGGAGTTTCTTAAATTTCGATTGGTTTGAATGGGAGCAACCTGACGCCTGTGGCAGTTCTAGTAGTTTCATATTTTCAGGGAGTTTTGTTCAGCATTTAGAAATTGTATCAAGGATGAACCAGCCTTGTGAATATGCACAATATGCGTACTGACTTCTTTTGAATCTCAGTTGTCAAACAAGGCAGTGTGTGTACATGTGGTTTTAATTATGCCTTTTTAAATGTCAGCTAACCAATCAGAACTTCCTAAGGCCATGACATCGCGACCTTTGTGTGTGTAAACCATGGATCTATGGGTGTAAACCTCTGACTTTGCAGAAAGGTATTTTAAAGTACTGAAGAATTACCTCCCTCAAAGTTGTGGAATTGAGGAAACGGAAATAATTTAAGTAAAAAAAAAAGACCGAAAAAAAATTCAGTAGTTTTTCTAACTTCAGCAGAAGACACATTTCTCTTTACTCAGTGTGTATATTGGCAAGACATTTTTAAAAATCAAATAATGTCACTTATCCTTGACTTCACACTGACCCTCAGTCATTCTTACAAATACAATCATAAGCCTCTGTGTTTACAGTCAGCAATGACCAGGTCTTTGTTCCACTGGAGACCAGGTTGTGGTAAAGTCACTTTGTTATACCTCTGATGACATCTGTGTAATACACCAGTCATTCAGACTGTCCCAGTCTGAATAACTAAGGAATGCAGCCAAGCTACTCTGATGGACCAGAGGGAACACCGGATTTCTCACTCAAACCCTGACTCTGCACTTAGCTGTCCACACCTACATCTATTCTCTTAAAACTAGTGTCTAATTAAGATTATTTTTAACAGGGAGACTTCACTCTAAATCAGGAGAACACAGCGGATACTGTTTCAAGATAATCAAAAGACAAATCTGAGAATGAGTCATGTCATTGTGAAACATCAGAAGAATATGTATCGACACCAGTGCAACAGTGATACTCTACTATTCATACTTTTGATACAAAGTAAAACTAAACACATTCACACCCTTTTAAAGCATTTATCCACACCCAGCTACACTTCCACTATTCCTAGTTTTTTAATTAAAAGTGAAGACATGAATTGCTTGGTAAACCGATTTAATAAAAGAAAAGAACAAAATAAAACCATACACAATGTCGATGCTCTAACCTCAGCAGAAAAATGGGTGCTCAACGCTTACAAATCAGATCAAAGATTTAAGGAACAAAAATCACAATTGATATCTTAGTTAAAAGTAAAGCATATATAGTAAAGAGTAAAAATGTAAAGGTAATGAATCTTTAAAAGGGTGCAGACTGGCACAAGCCATTACACACCAAAAAAAGGAATCATTTTACATCAATTTCCCGATATCAAATGAGGTCATTTGGTTGGACCCATACACATTGCTCCATTTCTGAAATGAATACAACCATTTGTAAGCATCATAAAGAAACTGATCCACTGACAGCATGCTGCATAAATGATATTGGTATAACTCATTGACAATTAAGCATGAATATTAAATTAAGGGCAGAAACAAACATTTGATGTGCTTTGAGAAAGCTCACACATTTCAAAGGCGCTTAGATTGACTAATGTCAGAAGGTTTGGCCATGGGGCTTCTATAACAGAAAGCAATATTGGGCCATCTGCCTCATGTTGAAACTATTCCTAAAACACTCAACGGATTCTCCCATTAATCATGAACACATTTACTCCATTCTAATCTGCATTAGCACCCAAACAAGAATGAGGCATTAAAAATTAGTTTAAAATATGACATAGCTGTACCAAGCTTGCTCATCTTAAGCTCATGGTGAAATGGCTGTATGAATCATGAGGGATTTAGCTGCCAAAGCCAAAGATGTTCTTGAAGTATCCCGTCAGGCCGCCCTTGCCTTTCTGCTCAACTTTGTCGTCCAGTGGTGGGAAGGCTGCGTGATTAAGGGCAAGATCGAAAAACAGCGGCTTGCATGGGATAGGCTGAAAATCAGGAGGGAAATGCACCAGATTGGGTTGTTTCCCAACTAGAGAAGTGTCGAGGCGGAATGAGTCCAGGCGATCACACAGGGGCTGGAAAAACACATTAAATACTTTAACTACAACTTTGTGTTGTGGAAAATATTGAACTCTTACCGTAGTGTCCTTAACCTGTGGCTGAGATGGAGCTTCCGCATTTTCATCTGTATCTAAAAAGCCCAAAATCCAAATATATATTAAGCACAGACTAACCAAAGGGAGAAACAATTCTGTTCTAGAATATATAGCACACCTAAAATAGCAGCAGCTTGAAGAGAGTATTTTTCTGCATTGACTTCTGCAATAAGTTCTTGGACATCTGGCAAATCCTACTCAATCATACCAGAAGAGAGTTAATATTTTAGACAAGGTTTTCTTACTATAAATATTTGCATTACACCAAACCTTTAGACTGTTGTTTAAGCCTTTAGCCTTTGACTGGACCTCCTTGGCATATTTAAGCACTCTTTCATACAGAACCAGCGCCTCGCTCCATTTTTTTACCAGCACATAAGACTGCGCTATGAAGAAACATCTGCATGAGACAGATTATGCAGTGTTGGTTAATACAGTGTTTGTTAAATGCTATAAACATACTAACTAACTGACCTGTAAGCCTTATAAACCAGCGTCTTCAGAGACACCTCCTTTTGAAAAGTGTGGTCATCCTCGAGTCCCTGCAGAGTCGAGAGCTCGGCCAAACTCTGGAGAAAGTTATAAAGGACACTCACATTCATTACATTAAAAAGAATAACTGCAACATTCACTACTTTAGACTAAAGTCCCATTTGTCATTGTGATTGAAGGTTTAATCATGTTATCAAAACACTCGCCACTGAAATTTGTTTCTAGAAAAATTCATACGTTTTGAGTAATTCCTCTGGATTCAAAACAGCATTTTTTTTTAAGAATGATGTGATCGGGTGCAATGAGCATGGCTAACCAGCACTTTGAGGACTTTTACAGTGATGTAGTCTGAAGAGATAAGACTAAACTCAATATCAATAAGAGGATTTAATGTGGTCTGGTTCACAGAAACATTTTAGATTATATTGAGATTATCACTAGATAAAAAACTGGAAACAGAAGCCAAACTATTCTGAATACAGTATCTAAAATCTAAATGAAAATATTTAAAATGAGACTTAACTAAATAAAGATCAACAAAGATATGATACATTTGAGGAAGTAACTTCTCCAGCCAAAGTACCTGCAGGATAATGTCATACAGGCGAATGAGGTCCTGCGGGCGAGGGCCTCTCTTGTCGTCAGTCTGAGGCTCCTTCAGTTTGGCCTGCAGTGTGTGAGCCATGCTCTCATTTCTTTTTACCAAAGTACACAGCTTGATATAGGACAAATAACTACATGGAGAGAAAAGCTGTATTACGGTTTCTAATGAAAACACTTCACATTCTTGATAAAATGTTTAATAAAATACCTATGCAAAAACTGCATGTTGGACACCTTTCCACTTTCAACTTCAGAGCCTCTTTCTCTTTGCTTCTGTTTGGACATCAAATAATGTTACATCACATTCTTAATAAAAGTATATTTGACCTTAGATGACATACCGCTTCAGTTTTCAATTCTTCTTTTACAGCCTGAATGGTGTCTCTGCACTCAGCCAACAAAGTTTCATAGAGATGTTCTTTGGTTTCCTCATTAGATGCCTAAACAGAGAAAGTTTTGATGAGAATAACAATGTGAACAAGCTATAACAGGATTATGAATAAAGTGCTTATTAATATTTTCAAAGAAAAGGCTTTTGTACAGGAGTGTTACTGTAGCAAAGACAAGTGTTGGTATGTAGTTCCACAAGCTGCCCGCTATGAAGCATGAAATCAGATTCAAGTAATAGTTCACCAGCCATGGGACATCACCGCCACCATGTACAGAGAACATATATTTGATCATCTAAATGACAAGAATATACTTTAGTGAATCATTCAAGTCTCAATAAAGAGTTCATGTAAACGATGTTCTCTAAATGTTCTCTCGCTTTGGTGATATTATTTCCTATGAATTTCACAGTATATTTAACACCCCCCACACTAAAATGTCAATTGTGGACAGTAAAATGGCATTACATGATATATTACAATTACATTTCAAATAATTCTCCAGCCACACCTATCTAAAATGGGTGTAATTCCACCAGAAAAAGACAAAAATAATAATTTAGGAGTCATATGCACTTTTGGGCTTTATTTGTGTGAAGACTGTGTCTGGTGCATTTGATCAGGGGAATGCTGTAGGAATGCCTCATAGTAAAAAGTTGATAGATGGGTCAATGTGCTGTCATCATCCGCCCAGAGGGCAGATGTTACTTAGCGCCTCTGCCAACACCCCAGTAATGCAGAGCACAACCAGCCCAACCGGTTAACTCTCTTTTAAGCAAGGAGCAAGGGAGATGATTAAGAAAAGGGAATGAGCAAAGACTAAATGAGGGACATTCCAAGCAGCAGCTCCATCTATTTAGGTTCAACTTTCCAGCAAAAATTTAATCTTAAGTCTTAATTGTGCCTTAAAAGTTACTTATGCAGAGTATGTACCACTGTTTTAGAAATAACCATAAGATTATGACTATGCATTGATAAACTTATACTACCTATGCATAGTCGTAATCTTATGCTATGACTATGAACATGAATTTACACAATATTAATCTAAATATGTACTTTCTACTACTAGAATGTGAACAAAAAAAAATGAGTTGAAACAATATAGGTATAGGTAAAAAAAATTGCATTGCTAATAGAGGCCTGGCATCATGATGTTAAAGTTGAACTTTATACATTTTAATTTTGTGTGGCTTGAAAAACAATAAATTTGAGTCATTGAAAAAGATCATATGTCTCGGAGACCGGAAGGGTGTGTAGCCCTTTGTGTTTGGTGAAATGCTTAGAATGCAGTCGTGCCATGAAGATGTCTACATGCCATAGATCTGAGTAGCATTTGGGTGTGCTAGTGTAAGCTCAGCAGGATGTACATTACTTCAGAAGTCTCCTAGACAGAGTGCTTACAGTGTGCCACCTGGTGAGTATTTAGAGGAAATTAATTTTAATTGAAATCTGTGTTCAAGAGTGATTGACTTAAACAGTTGTGGCTATGACCCCTAAATTTCAATACATAAATATTAACAGTCAAGCAATATTGGGTTGTGACTGACAAAAAAGTTGACAGACCATAAGTAAAATAAGCAGTTGATCACAGAACTGAAAATAAATATATATACACAGACCTGAGCAATGGCTGCCTCATTGTCTGCCAGGCCCAGCAAGAAGATGCGGGCCTTGTCAATCTTGACCGGAACAATCCTTCCTCGCCATTCCACCTCACTCATGGTGGCTGCTTGCTTAGTCCTGGCCTGGGTGATTAGAGCCTAAGACAAAAAAAAGCATAAGTATAAGTGTCCCTCATCAGGAAAAGGCATGCCCCTTATCTAAACACATACACCTCAGAACAAAAAAGAAAGAACATGCCTCTAGTTTTTCAGCCATCATGCCTCCACCGCCTCCGGTCAGTCTCATCTGCATCAAGTCGTTGATGGCATTCTGGTCCCCTACAATAAAAAGATGCTAATAATGGGAAGCTCCCTCATGGTTATAAACAGTCATGTTGCAGTGCTTACCAATGTTATAAGCACAGTATCGAATGTTAGGAGAGATTTCGTCTACACGCTGGCGATACAGGAGAGCCATCTCTTCAGTAAAAGCACTGGCGAGCTTTTTATAGATTGTCCTGATGAAAAAAGACCGATTAAGTTCAAGATTGTATGAAACAAGCCCGCAAATGTGCACTAGAGCAGTGGTGCCCATTTATTTCCTCTCAAGGACATCCTAGTTGAACTGGAGACTGAATTTGACTGCGGCAGTTTAATCCAATTTACTAAAATAACAATGTCTGTTGTATCATTGCGATGTTTAGGTGAGGCACACGTGTCCTCGTTCTCACCGTTTGTGCATTAGTATAAAAAGCCATTTTTCTAACATCTAACCATCATTTACAATTGCAAATGCAATGAATTGCATAATTCATTTACTTTTGAAGTCCTAAGTAGCTCTGAAACAGTTGTTTTGTGCTTTGCAATTGTTATTTTTCTGACTTTTTTTCTGCTGCAGTAGTGTTCATGGTTTTGCACTGGTCCAGACCGGAGCGGAGAGGATTCATGGTCCCAAACAAGCGGTTCAGGCAAAGATCCATTGGAGGAATGACGACTTTTTGATGCTAACAAAGCATTCAGCATCTCACTTTGGACTAGAGCAGAGAAAATTGTCCAAACCAAACAGCTACTCAGAATCCATCAGTATGCTCTTTTAAATACCCACTTTTATCAAACAGCTTTTAACTGTTAGTTTTCAACTTCCCATTTTGTATTTTACTGTTCCATTATCTTTGTTGTGTCTGCTCTGTCTTCCTGTATCTACAATTCTAATTATTTCAGCAACATTAAAGACATTAAAGTGCACAGATGTAAACATCCAAGGTAGTTTTATCCACGTTTGGTTGATGTTGTGGCCTACTGCATAGCTTTAACCAGAGCATTTTAGTTGAGATGTGGTTTGGGAAAGGGTAAAGACTACACACCGTTGCAGAAAGAAAAAACAGCAACGACGCAAGCGCAGAGAATGTCCTAGTGTATTGGGTGGCTGTGTGCATGACAATTGGCCAATTGCATTTGGGGGTGTGTCTTAGCTATAAGTCAGTTAAAACTCGAACCCATGACCTTCACTTAAGTGTTGGGCAACAAAAGCTACTTTTTGGAGGTGATACATCACATGGACACTATGCTTTTCTAGGAGCTTGCATGTTCTCAAAACATGACTGTTTATAAATGTCCAGTTTGTTTACATGGAAAGGTTCTTCCACCAAAACATTAAGTTTATATAGTGTGTATAAATATTATATTACTTTATAATTTGAGAATGTCATGTACCATTGCAGAAAGGTTTTGGGTACCTTCTTTACTCCAGCCCCCAGGCTGGGGACCACTGGACTAGAATAATAGAACAAACAACATACTTGCACTTATTGAAAGCCTCCATGGCACGCTTCCACTCTTGCAATTCAAATTCAACCATGCCCGAGAGATATGCTGTGTAGGCCTGTAAAAGGAATTATATATTTGTAAATATTTAATTGCCACACTAATGAATGTATACAATCTATTAAAGTCTGTACATACTTGTGCTTCTAGTTTAGTCTTTGCATCAACACGAGGGCTTTCACACAGCTTCTCCAGTCTTTCACTGTGCTTGGCAGCCTTGCGCAACCTTGCTAGCAGATGGAAACGCTTTCTCGGTTCTGTATTAGCCTCCTGTTTCAATTGCATGGCATAACTCCATGCCCGTTCAGCTTCCATCAGGACTATCAAAAGGTATCTGTAGTCCATAGATTGACTTATATTAGATATATATATATATGATAACTATGCAGGTTGCTACACACAACTCACCTGCTGTCAGAGAGCATTTCAACTGTAATCTTCTTTCCCACAAACTTATGTCGATTTCCCATCTTAAATCCAAGAGTCTTGCGTAATCTACGCATCCTTCGGGAACAGTATCCCCTAAAAATGGTTAATAGAAGGTTACTTTGATGCAATCTTTATACAACAACATACACTAAGATAGTATATTAAGCCCCACATGACTCAAGTTGAGTGCATTGAGTGGGCCACATCTCACCTGTATCTCTGATAATCCCCATGTCTAAGGCCATGCTGCTGCTGTGACTCCTTAATAATTTGCAGGACTGTAATGAGTTAAGATATAATAGTAACATTTGTGTGTATAGAATAACATGACGTACTCAAGATGTGCTCAAGTGCTGGACAATCATTAGTAGGTTACAGAAAATGACTCCACCAGAACATGTGCAGCTCATTTCTGAGGCGATTAGTATAACATTTCCATAAAGTACTAGTGAGTATCATCTTGTTTAGTCAACCTTTTTTGAGTTAGACATTTTCACGACTTTTTATGTGATGTTGACATTTGTACCACATGAAGCAAAGCTTCGGTATGACACGTCGCCTTGTTCAATGAACTAGCTCAGGCTAGAAGGTTGCTAAATTTAGCTTCTACAACCACGACAGAACAAATATGTGCAACAACGTAGTTCTTATATAAAAGGATACTCTCCAATCCCAGGAAACCTTCTTGATGATTTTCTTTATTTTCATCCGATAGTGGAACTTTCACATCGTTTAGCTTTTCTCCGGCCATGTCTGAGCTAAAGAGGTGCAATTTAGCTAAGCTAGCACAGGGACCACCAGTCCAGCCAATCAGAAAGGAGTACAGACTCTCGCGAGACAATACGGAGACGTATTTTCTCAAACTAAATATAACAAATATGTTATATTATGAACCATTATCAAATCCATGTATCCATTAAACATAAAAATCTCGAGTTGAAAATGTAGATTTTTTAAGTTTAAAATAGACAGGATTCAGTGCAGTGAGTCCATAGACTGCAAATATTGTTTATGGGAAAAATAGTAGTTGACCTATTCTCATATATCCAAATGGACACTTCTCAACTGTGTCCAAATGTTTCTCAACCCTGAAAATTATGAAAAACTATTTTATATCTCTGAGCACCCTATTCACAGCCTCAATCCTGGATCTACAGCCTCAGCCTTAGGGCAGTCTTGAACCTGAATCTACAGAATTTTTAAACCCTTTCCTTGCCGATGCAGGGGGGTATAAGGACAGTAGTGATGATTTGGGACATAATAGGACATACATAGACATAGGTCATCCCGCTCCCTATCGACCAATGGCTGCTATGTGTTTATTATTTTTGCATTTCCTGTGTTTAAGATAAATAAAGGACATCTTATCTTATCTTATCTCACAAGGAGAAATTTACATGTCACGTTTGGCATGGATAGAACACGCAGATTGTGCAAAAGGAGGAAATGTGCAAACATGTTACATGCAGGATATATATGTACAATAAAAGTGGCAATTTAAAGTGGCAGTCAGATATAGTGTCAATAGTAGTAGTGCAGGCAAAACAAAGCCCTCAGCGAAGACTGCTGTTGGGATTTAGGGCTATACAAAAATGCAGTGAATTGAATAGATCGTTGTTGAATATTTAATAGTGACATATTTACATAAAGTTCAAACATTAAAATGTGTATTTTCAGAATTGTTCAGCAGCAGATGCATATCTCGACAGATAGTTCTTGATCTCTGAAATGTGCACGGTCTCTTTGATAGTTGTATCTCTGCTACGTACTTGAAGAAGTCCGTTTTCCAAAGTGCTTTCATTTAATATAGTGCTAAACAACACCCCCATTTCATCATATCTGGAAAATACATTACATGGCCTTTTTAGGATAGTCTAAATAGAAAACAATGATTGCATGTAAAAAAATTTAAAAAAAAAAATCCATACAGTACCTAGCATTGAGCTGTTCCATTGATGTTGACATAGCTTCAAGATAACCAGGCCATGTAGAAATCTTTGAATCAAGCAACTCTTGTTGTAGGCCTTCACAAACCTAAGAGAAAAATAAACTTTCAATTGTTAAATGATTAAAGCATTATATCTTTTTTAATGAGATACCTGTCGTAGCTCAACTGTGGATCCCCTGCCAAGATCCAAAGCCACTTTGACTGGAGCCAAGACAGGATGCAACTTAAGCACCTAGTAAAATACATGTTACAATTAAAAGTATTTATATTATATAATATTGAGACAAAATACATAAAATATACACATCACCTTCCTCTGATGCAGATTCCTCTCGCTACCCTCTCTTTTCTGCAGTGAGTTGAACAGAAAAGCAATGACACCTTCGTCCATGTTTGCTGTTACTGTGACAACATGTGGAATGGACTTTCGGCCATCTCGACACTGAATAAAACAAACAGGGTCAACACAATTTAGTTAGATGAACCTTTCACACTCAAACTAAAATATACACGTGAATAACCTCTGCAACTTATGATGCATTCACAACATCTTTGGTGTTCATTTTGGCATTAATTTACTTAAGGAAAGTCCCACTGAGATGATGTATCTATTACACAGCGGCTCAAATAAAATGGATTTGAGCCGCTATGTAATAGTCATTGCCCCTATGAATAAGGCAGCACGATGGCTGAGTAGATAGCACTCTTGCTTCTCAGCAAGAAGGCCCTGAGTTCGAGTCCCGGTCGGAACAGGGCCTTTCTGAGTGGAGTGGAGCATGTTCTCCCTGTGTCTGCGTAGGTTTCCTCCGGGTGTTCCAGTTTCCCCTATCACTAAAAAAACATGTACAATAGGTCTGGCATGCGCTCCTGTACTGGCCCCGCTCCCATCTCTGTGTGGAGTGAGAGACAAATGCCCACAATTGTAAACCGCTTTGTGACTCTGTTCTGTGAAAGGCGGTATGTAAATAAAGATTACTTACTTACTATCAACAAATAACTAAGTACTCTGGTCTCAGAGTCGAGATGTTGAGTGCACCAACATGTTTTTGTCACTTCATCTCAAATTGCTCCAATTATTCACAAGTTGTTGAATAATTTCTTTCCGAAAAGTTAACATAAATAATGTGGTATTTAAATTTGAGACTACATCTGCGTCAACGTTTTGATCAGATACGGCCAAATAGGATTTGTACAGTTCTTGATGTCTGGGGGCAAGAGTAAAAGATACAAAAAAAAAAAAAAATTATATATATTATATATATATATATATATATATATATATATATATATATATATATATATATATATATATATATATATATTTATATATATATATATATATATATATTAGGGCTGTCAAAATTATCGCGTAAATTAATTTTTTTCATTAATCGCGTTAAAAAAATTAACGCATTTGACGCATGCCCATGCGTCCCATAATAACACTCAGAATGCCGCGGACACATGCGTGTGTAAGATGGGGACAGAGCAGGTAGGCCCTCTGGGAATTCAAGTTTTGAAAGAATACACGTGTGACCGCGGGGCACTTGTTGTTTCCTGTATGAACTCTGCATGATGAGCTGCGGGCGCCACAGCGCTCTGGACAGCAGCACCACTTCCAGCGGCTGTGATCACGGCGAACGGCGCTGCGTAATGGGATCATATCCAAGATCACGCACAGAACTATTACAGAACTATTTTCTAGTGTGCGTACGTGTCTTTGCGTAACCGATGCACACAATATGTACAGCGCTGAAGCTGGACTGCGGAGCCTCAGTCTCCTCCGTGTCTTCTCAAATGTAACAAATACAGTACATATGTTCACTAAGCTGTCATTTATCTTTCCATTCAAACAACAATTTACAGAAAAATATGGCATAATTTTGCCAATAGTTTGAAATGCGTTTAATTACGATTAATTAATTTCTAAGCTGTAATTAACTCGATTAAAAAAATTAATCGTTTGACAGCCCTAATATATATATAAAAGATACAAAATACAAAATCTTACTGTTCCTTTAAAGTCGTCCCCACTGTACTAGAAAGTTCTCTCATGGATCGCTGAGAGCGCTAAACTATGGATTTTTAAAACTCAAATGATTTAATTTTCCATGTACATACTTTGAAAGCCAGAGCATGTTGGCTCAAAACTTTGTCCATGAGCGCTTCCCTATTACGGCATTGTTCATTTATATACAGCATATGGATAGAACACAAAACTGATTTGAGAATTCAAGTAGTGCTCATGTATATCAACTTGAATGTGACTTGCACTCCAGATGTGCAAAACATTTAACTACCTGAAGTTTTGAGCGAACCAGGTTGTGTGCTTGAAGTAGTTCAGAGTCTCCTCTGCTCCACATTGTTTCTATTGGCTTTGAACCCCATGGAAAATTATAAAATATTTTGACTCCTCGTGATGCTGGTAGTTCTAGGTCCTGCTCAGGAACATCACTGCTGGTGAAATCTGATGGGGAGAGAGCAAACTGCAAAGGACAGAAGAAATAGGACCTTTATCTTAAAAAAACACCCCAAAAAACCCAATCGATTTAAAACTATAAAAACATATTAACCCAAAACATACCTTTTTCCACCACCGAAGCCTTTGTCGTGCCCAGAAATCCAACCACTGCGAGGATGTATGAGGAGAACAGAACCACACTAGAGAGGTCAGGGTGACAGCATCGGGCCTGAGGGGAAACACAGCAGACGTTTATATTAACAATATACAGAATTAATCAGACTGATAAGTGCCTGCTGAGGATACATTTTACTCACAAACCACAAGAGAGTGCTGGGAAACACACACCAGTTTCAGCCAGGCCAAAGGGCAGCTTTCTGTTGACCAGTTCCAAGGAAGGCACACACTGTTCCAAAGCACCTGGAAGTGGAAAGTAAGCCCAGGCCAGAAGCCAAATTAAAACTTGTATCTTATCAAAATCTCTATTGGTGTGTACAGATTGTGAACCAAAACCTTGGAGAAAGTTTGTTCTCAGTGATGGTGACGTCTCCAGTAAATAATTCAACTGTTCCATCATCTGCCCCCTGCTCAGTTCTCGCTGTTCCAATATTTCTCTTAACTTTTGAACCTGGATGATTTTATTTGCAGCTAGTCCAATCTCTTCTCTATCCAAGTAACAACTCGCGCTGTTTATCCCAAATACCCGCACTCTGGATCTCTCCACGGAGTCCCACCATTTCTCCAGGAGATTTCTCTTGAGCTCCGCGCCCAGGGGACCATGCCTCCAGTTTACGCCGAGTCTCCGTGACTCTTGGTCGGTCTGACGGCTATAGCCCCGGTCCGTGAGCAGTCTGAGCACCGCCTCGACCTCCGCTGCACTTTCGCATGTGGATGTGTCGCACCTTGCTCTGACAGCTTGCATGGACACAGGGAAACATGCATTTGTAGCTTTAAACTGGTTACATTTTCTGTACAACACATTTCTAACGCTGTATGTCAACATTACTGCAGGTAGTCAAAAAGCGTGGAAAGTCTGCGAACCGGATATTTACTCCTTAGTACTTCCGGGGCAAGTTGAACAAAAGTAACATTCAAAATAAAATACAATTATTATGTACAGGTTATTATAATAGATTCATGGTACAGGATAATTTTTAACTTGCCTGAGCATGTTTAATTACAATTCTATGTTTGTGAACTTTGCCTCATCTGTTAAAGGGGAATAGTAAAAAGAGAAAATAAAGACCGAAGTCAAAATTATCTGTGTAGGTTGTTCCAACTACAACGCCTCAACTTCAGAATTCTGCTGACAGTTTGCACACACAATTTCTAGAATAAGATTAGGAAACTCTTACTTTAGACTTTAGATTCATGGCCATGAGGGCACTTAAAAAGAATAAAACAAATTGATAAAAAAAAAAAACAAAACATTTCCCCTTGCATTTGTAAACCATAAAGCATATTCCAGTCCATGAGGTAAACTAAGTCCTATTAATGCCATGTAGATGCTAATTATGAAACATTACACACACACATTTTTAATTGTTTATTTAAAAGGGACTTACACTTTTTATAGACTCGAAAGGCTTAAACATACCACAAACTGATTAACACATAATTTCCAAATAAAAATAAATGATTGAGGAATGCAACACAATGCACCAATAAATGCTTTCACTGAATAATGTAAACTCTGCTGTGAATAGTTAAAAGAAGAAACTTTGCAACACAGAACTATATTAGTTGCAAAATTTATTCATATGTTTACTGTGGAAATGGTGGTTGCATTGGGTAAGGTGCCATTGGTGGTGGCGGCGGCTGTGGGGCTTGAGCGGCAAAAGGGAACGGCGGATGGTTCATACCGTTCTGAGGAGGCCTCTGCATGGCTCCAAACTGCGGAGGGCCCTGGAAGTTTTGGTTACCGAAGGGTCCGGGTTGGTTTGGTGGAGCCCCAAAATGGCTGTGTTCTTTACTGTTGTTGTAATTGTTGTTTCCGAAACTACCAGAATTTCTCCCAAAGTTGCCACCATTTTGAGCTTTGTTGCCACCAAAGGCACCCTTTGGCCCATTGCCAAACCCTCTATCACCATCCCTATAGGAACCCCCTCCATAGTTGTTTCTCCCCCCCCCAGAATACCTATCCCGACGGTCATCCTTGAAGCCACCTCTACCCCCTCTTCCTCGTCCTGCAAAATAAGCCACAAGTCAAGTCAATATCTAATACTAATAAATACTATTACTTTTTATCCAATTAAAGCTGGGGTCCCTAACTTTCAAACAAGGGATTTTATCTCAGTACCGCAGTATAGTGTAATCCATGTTTTGTAGTTTCTTGCTAGGAAAATGATTGTTATGGCCTCTGTCAGATGTTTAGATCAGCTTATCTCAGCCACAGCTCTTAGCCCAAAGTATGCAAAGTACAAAAAATAACCGTATACAATGGAGACAGCATTTTGCGGTCTGATTTGTTGAATTTTACGGTGTTGGGACAAAGAGTATGCATAATCCATAAAACAAAAAAGGGAGGTGCCCCAGCTTTAACTTTTAATATTTATATAGGAAAAGTATGTTATTTGCACATACCGCCTCTCTCTTCTGCTAGTTGGATCAGTTTGGGGTTGATGGCCTGGTTAGCTTCACGGAGCACAGAGATTAGGTCACTGGCTTGTTTCATGTTGTTGGGCGTGAAGAATGTGTACGCAGTGCCCGTTCTTTGGCTGCGGGCTGTGCGTCCAATACGATGGATATAATCCTCAGAAGAGTTTGGGTAGTCATAATTGATGACAAATTTCACATCCTCCACATCTGTGAAAGTGTTGCAGTGTGGCAAAACATAACAGCGCCACACAAAATTTTGCACACCACAACAGCCAGATCAAAGAAAAAGTTAGCAACTATAAGATCTAGTGAAGAAAATGCTCATGAAGCTGTGAAAGAATTAGACATTAAAACAAGTGTGAATATTTCCTCAATGGGAATACTACTGTGGGAAGAGAGAAACGATGCACACTCCAATATCTTAGCACAATATATGTGACACCCACTCCCTCTTGTATATGGGAGAAAATATAGAATAAAGTCTTACCATTACGGAGTATGCATTCACTATTCCATTCCCAATGCAGCGAAATCCCCCACAAATTGTCAAGTGACATCCAGCAGCTTCTATGCAGTAGGGCCAGAATATGCACTGGGGTCTCCAATATAGGATCTTTGTGTCGCACCTTTTTTTTCCAGGTCCGATTTTCCCAGTACGCTTCCGAAGAGAGCTTTACTAGGGCCACACTGCATCTCTTGCCAAGACATTATAGACCAAGAACTATATTAAGACAGGAGCAGTTTAAAATGTCCATGCACCAAGCTTTAAGAACCTTCTGAGAGTGCAAAAACATCCTGCCCCTTCCCTCATCAGTCTCATCAAGGCAAGAATTTCCAAGAAGCCAGTATTCACTTGAGAAAATGTCTCTCATTGGCAGGTCTCGACATGACTACAAAACGCAGGCGAGGGAGTAACTTTAGTTTTTGCGGTTTTTACTTTTTCTCCTGTTTCCCCAACATCCACTAACAGGTATGTGCCAGGTCCTCTAATTTCCAGACTGATCTCCATTTTAAAAATCCAGCACTGAAACAAAGAACTGAAGGCTCTCATGCTGTAATAGCAACTCCAATGGTAATGTTCCAAATCTCAAACTGCAACTCGCGGTACATCTCTCTAAGAGCATGCAAGGCAAAAGAAACAGCATCAAGCATATTGGCGTTTTAGGTTTGAGTTGGAAAGAGCTGGATGGCATTGGTAGGATGAAATCCATGAGCAGAGAACAGATGTGCGTTTATTTTGTCACCATATCAGAGACAAGGCTTAGCCACACAGCCTTTTGAAGATCACTGGCACACAGAGCTTTCATCTCTCTAGGCCCACTGGGTGGCAATCCAGATGAGCACTTCCAATATGTCATCCTTTTCCCTCTCGAGGCCTGGGACTGTCATGCCTAGTGCCTGCCACAAAGACTCCACCTTAAGGTGAGAAAACTCAGAAAATGCATAGATAAGTTAAAGAAAGCAAAAACACTTTCTTTAAATAGTAACACCAATGCTGACATTTACTCACCTAAGCCTCGGGAAGCCACATCTGTGGCAACAAGGATTGGAGCTTTTCCATATCTGAACTCTAACAAGACAACAGAACTGTATTCAGAGCGAGAGACTTTAATCCTTTATGGTGATAAAATAATATAAATTTACCATTAAGGACCCAATCTCGTTCCTGTTGACTTTTATCTCCATGTATCCCCATTGCTGGCCAACTTCAGAAGAAAAAACAAAAACAAATGCAAAGTTATAGATTTCCTTACAGGTGTGTTCATTAACATGCATAGTTTCAACCAAATAAATAACACAAAAAATTCGCACCCATCTCTTCTCATCCGTCTGGTAATTTCATCACATCGCCGTTTGGTTTCCACAAAAATAATAGTTTTGTTTTCCTTTTCACTCATAATCTCCTCAAGCAACCGAATCAGTCTGATATGCAAAAATATAATAATTAAAATCAAATCAAAAGTTGTTGTTTAACCAGTTTGATATATAAACCAACTTGTCCTCTTTCTCCATGTCGTTGCAAACATCCACTATTTGAAGGATGTTGTGATTCGCACTGAGCTGCAGAGCTCCAATGTTGATCTGAACATAGTCTTTGAGGAAATCCTCAGCAAGCTGTTGGACTTCTTTTGGCCATGTGGCACTCCACATCAAGGTTTGGCGATCTGGCTATAGGACAACATGATGGTAACAATTAAACAAAACACTTAAATACCCACATTTACAGAACCACCAATTAATCAAGAAAGACTGACTCTGATCTGATCCACTATCTTCCGAATTTGAGGCTCAAATCCCATATCCAGCATACGATCAGCTTCATCAAGAACCAGATAAGTGCAACGAAGAAGATTAGTTTTTCCACACTCCAGAAAGTCTATAAGCCGACCCGGCGTAGCAATACAAATCTCTACACCTAGAACGAAAACATTTACAGAATACATTTCCAACCAAGATTCATCCTTCTTGCAATCACTTACCTCTTTCAAGGTCTCTGATTTGAGGACCTTTGGGTGCTCCTCCATAAATGCATGTGCTCCTGAGACGGGATGCTTGGCCATACTCTGCTGCCACCTGCTGCACCTGCTGAGCCAGTTCACGGGTTGGGGCCAGCACTAAACACTGAAAACATGAGTGGAACAAATATGTTGTAATGAAACACCTTTGAGTGGGTTCAGGAAGGTGTGTCAAAAATCTGTGTTACTAAGACTCAATGTTAAGTGTTAGTAAGTTGATAAACAGGAAGTGTCAGAGTTTCGACATGGCTAACTTACAATTGGCCCATCGCCTCGCTCCAGAAATGGTTGATGTTGTATGTGCACAATAGACGGAAGGAGATACTTGGGAGAGGGAAAGAGGATTCAAAGTAATATACCATGGATATGAACATTGCAAGTGAAGCGTCTTAAAAAATACTCACTGCAAGTGTTTTTCCAGAACCTGTTTGAGCAATTCCAACCATGTCTTTGCCACTAAGAGCAACTGGCCAACCTTGAGACTGAATTGGAGTCGGGTCAGTCCAATTCTGCTTTCCAATTATGTCCATGACATAACCTGTGTGTGAGATTCATTGATGACAATAGTTATGGTTACAACCAGTAAAAATATAAAATGTGTCCATACACATGCCTATCAAAATTTATGTCTGGTTCCATCATAATTAACCCTGGCAAACCCTTGTGTAGAACAGAGAGCAAAGCCAGAATTAAAAGACGTTTTACTCACTTGGATAGGCAGCTTCATTGAATTTCATGATTGGTTTTGGGCAGTCTCTGCCTTTGACCGTAACCTCTTTGGTTCGTCTATACTGCTCAATATCTTGCTGTAAATGAAACAAAACCTTAGTAAATAAACCGTTTTATGAACGTTTAACTCCTTACCAAGGGTCTGCATGTGACATCTGGGTGCTCCTGGTAAAGGTTCTTCTGAAACTTGGGAAGCTCATCCAGGTTCCAGTGCCTCTTTCGTAGCCTCTCTCCAGGGTTGCCAAATTTGCCCATTGAGGTCCCACCCCTGTTTCCACCAGGACCTCCACCAAAACGAGGAGGACCCCCACCATATCTATGAAAAGATATTATTCTCACGTGATGAAGGTGAAAAAATGTCTTACAGCAATAAAAATGAATGTAGTAACACGAGCATCACTGTCACTGGATCTTCATCAGTGAAACTGCGTCAGAGGAGGATAAATCAAGCGCTACACGTAACTCAAAGATGAAATGGTTTAACATTTGTTTACAAAATATAACAGATAACGCACTGTGCTGCATGCTTTTGCATTGTTGTTTTCATGTTTAAAGGTTACTAACGACATGGAAGTGCCTGCTTGACATCTGCACATACCCTCGGTCTCTGCCGCGGTCTCGGTCTGAGAATCCAGGCATGGCGCCGCTGTAGAGGATCAGAATAAAAAGGACAGTACAATCCCACGAGTGGTGACAACAACTGTCACGGAGATATAAAATACTAAACCGTCTCCGTAGATATATAAAATACAGAACAGTCACAGCAGAAATATAAAATGCCGGGAGACAAACGTCAGTCTGTAAAGACGGATGTGACGTCACTGGCGATAACCTCATATCAGTGCGCGTGCCTCGCATGGTGCCTCGTCACATAAACTAGTACTTGAGGTGCTAAAATAGTACCTCTGGTTCTGTTTTAGGTCCAAATCAAATCAGTCCATTAATGACCAGTGTAAATAGTAAGAGGCATTTATATTCTTCTTTCACTTTTATGGAGCTTTATTCCCCCCACTGGAATCATCATGCCATCTAAATACTTGTATGCTTTGTTTTACAAATATCAACATTAACAGAAGAAGAAGTTACACAAACACACAGATAGGTCCACAACTGATAAGAAAACACATTAGATATAAGCGGTCTGTATAGATTTTGCACAAGAAAATTGTAACAGATATTAACCCTAACCCCAATCATAACCTCAATCTTAGCCACATTCTTAGAAACATGAATACATACAGTTAGGGTTAGGCCTCAGGAAACATTTCACTGACGTAATTAGTACAAAAATCTCCTCAGAGTGTCTCTTAGTTGGTTTCTTTCCACTGTCAACTCATTGATTTTGTTTATGAGATCTTGGTTTTGGTTTTCCAGTCGGCTCTTGTTTCTGCCCAAAGTGATGATAGTTTCTTGTAGTTGGTTGCATTGCTGTGGTGTCAAAGTGACTGGGGTCCCATTCTCGACCACAGGGGAACTGCATTCACAGTTGGCTGAATATTTGACAAAAACAAGTCAAATGAAATCAAAACTTTGTTGGCCATTTAAGTAGTGATATAGACTCACCAGTCAGTCGTAGAGTGATGTTCAACAAAGCTTGAGTGAGACACAGCAGCCCGAAGCTCAAAAGAACAATCCGCATGTATCTCATTTCTGTAAGTGCAAACCAACTTTAGTATTAATCAATCAAAGAAAGAAACAACATATAGACACACTGCAATCTCAAACTGGAATGAATTACTATGAATTATCCTGCTTATCAATAATTCCCTGTATTAAATACTGTAATACATCTTTAAGATCAGACATTTTGAGAATAAAAACATAGGATGGTTGCATTGCGTAAAGCAGCTTCAATATTGTGGCATGTTGTATCTCTGTAGTAATAAATTGTTTATGGGATCTAACATAAATGATCAACTTAACAGTTTGTTGTGACTTGCAATTCTGGTGTGGTTCATTAGTATACGACATATCCATTTTCTGCTTTGTTACCTCTTCTAAGGCTATGGTCTGGGCTGCTCGTGTTCTGTAGATTGCATCTGAAAGTGAAGTCATACAAATTACAACATGGATATAGGGTACAGCATGTGCAATGGTCACAAAGAGAGAGGAACCAAGCTGTTAACATTATGTGTGTTCTCCACTTTTATACTTTGCTCTTTTCATTCACCGCTTTTGCAGTGGTTTGTTTTATTATTATATTATTAATATATACAGTCTATGGTCACACCAAATACTATAATTGGGCTTTGAAAACAAAAAGGATACTGATAGCTGAGTAGTGCAGTGGCTACAATCGGTGTTGAGTTTGTGTAGGTTTCCTCTGGGTGCTCCAGTTTCCCATATAGATTCAAAAACAGGGATAGGTATGAATGTGATAAGTGAACGGATTGTGGTACAGGGTGAGATGGTGCGGTCGATGTGTATGGAGTAAATTTAAAACACACTAAAATGAAAAGTCCTTTCAAAAAGCACTTTATGAGTAAAGATGATTTCACGTACTTGACTAATTCAAATATAAGCTGAGAGTTTAAAGGTGCATCGTGAAACTTTCTGATGGGATCCACCAACCATTTGTTGCCATGTTCTTTAATTGCATGGTATGTGGTATATGATCATCATATCATTTTACAGCTTTAAAATAAGAGACACATTCTTGTACTGTCTCTTTTCTCCACAAATATGAGTTGGTTCCATTGTCGATGGAAATGTTATTCCATAATGTGAAACATTCCAAATAAAACAGCAACAATATGACACAAAGCAAAAAGCAGATCCAGCACCAGGAAAGTGGATTAGTGGAGCTTTAAACAACCCATACAGCCATTGCATCAGGGAGATTGCAGCTTTGAAGCAATCTAGGAATTAAAAAAAAGGAAGTGGTTTTCTGAATTTCAGCACTTTGTGAAGACAGAAAAGGTGGAAGTTCAAATGTGGGCAGATAATTGAAATCATTCAATTTATCAGTGGAATATCATTATATTTGATCAGATGAGAATTGTTAGGAAATAAGTACAACCGCTTTGTTATAATAAAATAATAATAACATTGATAACTTTTTGTAAAATAGATCAATTATTTGAAAAAAGGTGAGAGCGGAAAACAACGTTCTCAATGTTGCGAAATAAAACAGAAAGAAGAAGTGATTTCCTCAAGCACAGTGTTCTTCGATATCTGTTTGTTGAACGACGTGGAGCTAAACATGGTCAGAAACACTAGCATGGAATACGTTAATATCCCTCGTCGACCTCGTCCCATCTCCAACAGCGGTGAGGCTGGTGCTAAACACTCTTACAACTGTTACATGTTTACTATGTTCAGGGGAGCAAACATTTTACTGGTGTAACTAGAGGTGGAACATCATTTTGAAATAGATAAAACAAGTTTGAAAGGCTATCTAAAGAGAACAGGCAGAGAGCAACTCCTTTTTTGCAGTTGTAATAAAAATCAATGCAATAATTAAGAGAAGAGAGACCACACATGGAGAACACATGTAAATCTGCTATAATACTGTATGACCTTATATTTTTACTTACAATAGATATGTGATAATGACTCAAAATGTATTCATTCAGCATCATGTGTTAAATTCTAAATCTTTTGGCGAGCTGAAAGGGGCTGGCAAGCTACTGGTAGCATCCTGAGCTATGGTTGGAGACCCCTGATCTAAAGTGTAGCCTATATTCCTACTGAAATGCTGCAGAATGAGAGAATATCAGTGAAAATCTAAACAATATGCAAAATGTCCAATATTTTTTTATAGCTGTAATGTTGGCTTCACATCACATGGCTGATGCAAAATGTACTTATTCCTCAATGATTCACACACGTAAAGCTGTTTTGAAAGCCATTAATGCATGTTTGAGGAATTTATATTCTCGTCATTGCTATTCCATACTATTCCATACTTCCTGTGTTTTTGATATTGAGGTATCAAATGTGCTACATATCTAATAATGAGTCACGTGTAATAAATCAGACAGAAGCGCTATATGTCTTCAAATCGCAATACTCAATACAGCCTAAATAAATACACAAAAAACACCAAATGAAAAATCTAGCCAATCCGCACACAAATACGAAAAAAAACTCCAGGGCAACTCTGTTCAATGTTCTGTTCCAGAGATTGATGGTTCTCTCTTTAACACCATATACTCGACATGCTGCATCTTTCTGTTGGATTTTCAGATTATTGTTATCAACCACCAACAAGCAAACATATGACTGTAAAATATAGCTGTGGTTATTTCATTAGATACATTTTGTTTGTCCGTCTGACATTTTGTGAAAAATCCGACTACATACTGTGTTCATCTTATTATAAAACATGTTATCTTTTCCATTCTGAGAGCTGAGTGAAAGTGGTATTTTTTTAGACAATATTTCAATCATCTTTAATTGAAAGAGGATTGAAATATTGTATATTTCTTACCATCAACATTCACCAACAAATATCAAGCAATACTTCTAATCACGTATTCATATTGAGACAAACCAGAATTATGTCTTTGTGCATTAATAACAGTGTTTTTCATCGACAGATAAGAAACTGCTGCAGTTGGTTCTTTTGAGTTTTGGTCTTCTGTGCATCCTCCAAGCTACCATCAATGTTTCACTTCGAGTTTATCTCCGTATGTTATTGTCAATTAGTACAAAACAAAGATAGACTAAAACACATGTCATAATTGTTGATGCTTTTGCAGACTACTCTGAACCTGAGGAAAATATTACGGAACTAGATGGAACGTGGAAGAATGTCACAAATCAGAAACGACCCAATTTTGGTCAGAACTACACTCTTTATATAAATCAGTTACATTTTGTGTTGATCGTATATATGTGTGTACTTATCCTCTACCTTTTTCAACTGCAGATCGGTATTTCCGAGATGGCTGGCTGTATTTCAACACAAGTCTCTATTACATTTCGACTGTGAAGAAAACCTGGGAGAGGAGTCGCATGTTCTGCCGCCAGAGAGACGCAGACCTGATTGTGATCAACAGCCGAAATGAGCAGGTGATACTGACATAAACCAGGCAAGAAATAATTACTAATACTTGTACATTTATATTTATTTATTTTCTAATAAATAGGAATTCACAAGGAAGTTCCATCGCTACATGTGGATTGGACTCAAGAACTCAAGTGAAGGCTGGATGTGGGTGGACGGAACACCTCTGACAACAAGGTCTTATTATTATATTATTCGTACTGTGTATGCTTAAAGTAGCAATATGTAAGATTTTCATCTCAAGTCATCATTAAATGGCCCAAATACTTTTTTTAACTGATAACAGGACTTTAGCCAAGATATTTGGATTTCAAACTTCGTTTTACAGCCCCTAAATCTTTTTATTGTTTTCATTTCGATGTCCCGCCCTCCTCCGTTTCACCAATCAGAAAGTCCTTGATCCAGGTTGCCAGAACTCAAAACGTCAACTTAATCTCACTGTTAAGTGGCCACAGAACCAAAAAGGTATTTGTAGGAGACACGTTTGGGCACTGTGTGAATAAATTAATGTTTGGCTGATGGAGGAGTAATGTATTGTGGGCGTGTATGTGTGCGTGAGCGTGGGCGTGAGCGTGGGCGTGAGCGTGAGAGCGCCTGTGTGTTTGTTTGGGCGCGGTACACAAAATTATGAATGGGCATACACCTGCGGGGGCACGGGAAAAAGAGGAGAGAGGTCTGTTTGGGAGGCCATAATTTTTGTTGACCGCTATTATAGTTTTGATTTATTTTTGCTATTTGTCTGGGTTAAGTTTAATCACTAATTATTTCTGTATATTCAACACGCATTATGGCCTGTGACCGCAGCGTTTATCATGAATTAAATGACATCGCAACTGGATCCAGCCTCTCCGTTTGTTTTCTATATTTATTTAGTGCGTCATACACTTTTATCAGACCCAACTCGCCTCTCCACGGCTTTAGGCAACAGGCAGCCGCTATACTTTTGTTATGATTCTCAAATGATTAATGAGAAAACAAGGAATAAAACTGCGATTTCTATCTTTGTGAAAAAGGTGTTGGTTATAGATTTGTTGTTGACAAAACTCTATATATTCAGATGTTATGGTCCCAGCCGGATTCATCCTCATATCTGGCAACCTGAATCAGGGAGAGTGCAGTACCACTTTTGGCCATATTTTTACATACTGCTCCTTTAAAGTGGGACTAAACACACACACACACACACATATTTTTAATGTAGCTGTTTAAGTGTTTGCTAGGTTGGGCTATATTGTCCAAAAACATAGAATTAGCATTATTACATAAAAGATTATTTTGGTGGAGTGAAATGAAAGAAGACCCAAAATTCAGGAATGCTAAAATAATAACAGACAACGACAAGCAAAGACATGGACAATGGACCAGCAATAAAGGCAGAGGAGCACAGGGTCGGGCCGGACATTCAACCAAAGGAACAGGACAGGAAGTTAAACTAAGCTAAAACCACATAGAAAAATGGTCGACACCTGATCATATACAAAATCGGGACAGAAGCGGGAGTAAATATTAACCAACTACCTAAACTAATAGATCTATGCCTAAACCTAACCAGCCATTCCCATAGAACAACCCCAACCCACCCTTAACCCTAACCATAACCATCTTACTCAGACACCTAAAACTTAACCAGTCACCACTTAAAGAGCGACTAAACACCTGTGCCCAGCCTTACATTTGAAACATTTTTCTTAAAAGGGCGTTGCCTGGAGGACCAAGGGACAAGAAGGGGGGCTTAGAGCTGGGCGTGGTCTGGGCAGTGATTGACAGCTCACTTGTCACACAAAAATAAAAACCCAGACAGTTGTCAATGCTGCTTAAAGCAATAGTTTACACACCAGAAAGTCCCATTCCACCCTTGTTTACACACAAAAATAATAATAGAGCTACACACCTGAACCTAAGTCACATAAATATCTCAGCGGCAGTGGTTGTAGATAACGATAAAACCTTTTTCAAGAACTAGTAGTTCTTCTTTAACCTCTGAGAAACTAAAATGAAGTAAACTGTTTTCAGCTTCTGGGGTCCCGGTGAACCGAACCAGGGAGCTATGGAGGACTGTGCTGAAGTGAGGTTCTTTGAAGTGGACGATACATGGAACGACAGAAAATGTGATGACGAAAACGACTGGATTTGTGAGAAAAATGTGACTTTTTAAAGCTACTATTGTGCTTCCTCTCTCAAAGTATAAGTCCAGAAAACATGTTATTTTATATACCTCATGATTTCAAGTGTAATGCATGTTGTTTCCGGTCATTTCTCCATAAATATATCTTCATCCATGACTATTCTCACGTCAATTTTGATGTGTGTTAATGTTGTATGTTAAAGAGACGCTGTACTAAAGAGTAATTTACCATTTGCTATACTTATTCAAATTGTTTTACTTTTTATTTTCTTTACCATTTTTGTTATAAATGTGATTTGTAGAAGTGGAAATTGTTAAAACGTAAATATTTTGTATTACTGTCTTGCTGGTCAAAGCTGTTAGTATGATGTGTCATTGATTTGAAATACTTCTCCAGAACTGAAACTACTCACATTAACTTGTGATTTTGGGCAATATAGTTTGCTGTTTAGAAAAATAAACAAATTTACTAGTTTGTTGCTGAAGGACCCACGTGCTCGCGGGATTCTCGCGGTACTGCAGTCTGTATGAAACCCACGAATAACAATCAGATAACAATATCTGTAATAACAGTATCAAAATAGATACAATAATTTAATTGTTTTATGTTGTCTGTTTTCTAGTGTGTTGTGTTTTGTCTATTTTTTGTGTTTTGGACTACGAGTCTGTAATAAAAGCTATCTAATAGCCTTCTCCAGTACTACCACGGGAGTACTACGTGACGGCTCGGGCTAATTATGTATACTATTAGTATAAAAGTGTGTTTAAATTAAAGTTTATACGTGTGGTTAAATAAATACACACGCTTTCGAATTTTCAAGAAATACTGCAGTTCTCAAATTGACCGGTGGGAGGCACTGTTTAGCTTTTCAAACTCACTTCCGGAAACATAGACTGGCTACAGCCAATCAGAGGAGGTCAATGTTTCAAACGAGAACAGAGAAGTTCCTGCTTCATGAAACTGAAATAAACATCAAACTGTGTCCGTAACGAGTTTCCATCAGGTTTGAGCCTCTGAAGATCCACCAGGACATCATCTGTTTATTTAGAGCCTTTTGCCTCCTGTCGTGAGCAGTTTGATGGGAACCCAGGAGGTGGACAGAGGTGAGTCTGTTACAGCTAACGACACGTAGCACTGCGGAGCTAGCAGCGTTTCTGACCACAACAATATGCACAGAAGTCCTCCTGATAATAATAATGATAATGATGATAGTAATAATAATTGCAATCCTAATCTTCTTATATTACTTGGAGATAATTATCATTGACGTCACTTGATACAAAAGGTCTTGATCAAGCATTAGTTTTAGTTGAACCATTAACGCAAGCTAGTTTGATGAGTTAGCAGTGTTAGGAATATATAGTTAACAGTTGCATTAGTTAGTGAAAGAATACCGGCATTAAACTATATTCTGTTGTGTATTACATGGATGAATCAGAGTTGCCTTTTACGAAGATCTGCGTGAAGTTTATTATGCTCATCCGGTTAAAACAACTTTTCTTTATAATTTCTTTCTTAGGGAAATTATAAAAGAAACTAGTCCATTAGATGAAGTTGCAATGATTGTTTTGTTTACAATGCGTATAACTATATTAATTTAGGCCAAGATGCTTGGATTCCCATCCTTTGCTTTAATTTTTTTTACAGATTGGGTTGATGTGGCAAACGAGCTCCTCAGCAAATGTCACTTGAGCCTGAGGCTGAGGAAACTGACCAACTGCGATGCACATGTTTTTGTTGCTCTCTATGAGAGCATTTTAGGAGAGAAGGTTCCAGGTAAGAAGAATGTTTAATCTCTGAATTCCTGTGTGTAGGTGTATTTATCTTTGTGTGGGGCTTAAGAGTTCAAGAATTTTCCCAATCACATTACATCGGGTCAAGAGACTGAAGTGGCTTACGTTAATACAGCTAACATCCACAAAAACATGTATAGAATGTGATGGATATGGCTATTCTTGACCATCACTCACATTTGTCAATCTTATTTGGTAGATTACATAATCGACCCTCGCTGTCAAGAGGATGACATTCATAACGTTCAATCGGTGATCGACTCTTTGTCCTTGGATTATTTACAAATCAGCCTCTCGCACATCACAGGTAAACTATTTATCTTACAAAGTTGTCTTTACACCTGCTGAGTAAAGGTAACCAATGAGGGCAAATCGTGTCCATGTTTGCAGGTGAAAATGTTGTTAGAGGTCACAAAGAGTCAATCGAAAATCTATTGGAAATATTTGATGGTCTTTTGGAGTATTTGAACGAGGACACAAGTGAAGAATCACTAAACAGTGGTGAGATTTTTATTATATGGTCAAATGTACTAAACTTGCCATGCAGTGTTGTTGTTTGGAGAGCCTGTAAAAAAAAACATTCACCATTAGGATATAGTTTAGATTATTTGTTTTATTGATCCTGAATATGATTGATATATTTTTTCTCTGTTCTTGTCTTTAAAGAGCCGAGTCCAAATGAGGAGGTTCAGAGTGAGGAGAAGGAGCCTGAGGGAGCCTCTGTGTCCAGTGGAGAGTGAGTTGTTGGCCACAAAGTAGTACTGCGTGACAATTCTATGCATAACTCAGAAACTCACATGGTTTTACTCTGGAAATTTGTATGTGCAACAGACAATATGTAAACTATTAAATTTGAATTCTAAAACAAATAGAAAGTATGTAAGAAAGAAGAAAGGTTTTCTGGAAGATCATGTTGATGAATAGAATGTATCCTGGGTTAAAGAGCTCATTTAGCTATTCTGCTACATTGCCAGATTAATGATATTATCATTTCATTAATCTAAAATTACAAAATGGTAAAGTAAAAAGAGCAAATGTTTTTTCCCCAGGTCGGATGCCCAGAGCAGTAATGGCTCCCATCAGCCTAACGCTGAGGACGTGGTAACAAACGGTGAGTTCACCAAACTGACCATAAACTACACTGGCACTCTTTATGTGATTATTATTTACATTTTACTTTTATTTGATAAGATGAGATCCAAGCCTCAGAGCCTCTGTCCCCGCCCATTTGTCGCGCGGACTCTCCACAATCTAACACCATCCCCTCAGCTGTTCCCCTTCGACCGCCGAGTCAAAGCCACGGCCCTCACCCCAAGACCGCTGGCCTCCACACCACAGCTGCAGAAGCGGGGGCAGACCAAGCCCCTGTGCAGGTAACAATTAAACACTCTTGTCTTTAAGTCTTTTGAACAGTACATTACAAAGGAGTTTACATATGGCATGATATTTTCCCCTTTGTTAATAGTGGTGAATAGTGGTACAAAACAGTCGTTTCAGACCATCAAAGATCCATTTCTTACTGTGTACCACGATAGGCGAGCGGTGACAAGGGTGACTCTATGTTTACACAAAGCGTTGTATTGTCACCACAAATAAGACCGCTGCACCATTGAAAAGCCCATTATCCATATTCACAGAATGACAGTCTACACACCCAGGCATATTTTATGTTTTTCAGTGGCCATATTTCAGAGAATAATAATGATGAAGCAAACTTTTTTTCACTTGGTAGTGTTTGTGTGAAGCCATTTTTTGTCAAAAAAAATACATATTTTCTATTTTCAATTGACAATGAAACTACTCAAATGACCCTGATCGGAAGTTTCCATCCTCCTTCTCAAAACTGTGTATTTCCCTTTTAACATCTGACAGCTTGGAGTCTTTTGTGGCAGTTGTGGATGTTTTTGTTATTGTTCATAATCTCTAACAAATGGCCTGAACAATGACATTTCTACCTTGGTGTGTAAATATTCCAGCACAATTGTATTATATTAGTTAATTTTTAATCTCATAGCTTCCAGAGACTGTACCTGGCAGTGAATTGGACTCTCAAATCAATTCTGCTGGTGAGTACAAGGCAATGTGACATACAGACTTACTGCAACTGCCTGCTCTGTTTTCATATCTGATATCTGTTGTTTATAGCTTTAAGTGAAAGATCTTCCTCTCGGCAAAACGGCAACAACAAAAACACCAAAACACTAGAGGTACGGTCCTAAATACTCGTCGGACTCACCGCCATTTCATGTGGTCTAACCCTTTTCTCTGAACTTTTAGGTCACAAACGGAGGTCCGCAAAAAGTTTTATTTCACACTCAGCCAGACGTTCTTTTCCTTACTTTACAAAATGAGACCAGATCCACAGACTCGTCGCCTTCGGACACAGAGGAGGATTTGGACGCTGTCTACCATCGAAAAATGCACAACAGGCGCACTAGTCACAGAGACAGGGCAAGGTAAGACCATGAAACATTTACATTTTTACTTGCATACTGTACTTATTAGAAGTAGATCATATAAACAGTAGTGTCTTAAAACAGTTTCGAAATGAATAGGCTTGAGTTAACAAAATGTTTTAAGGAATGTAAAATCATGAAAATGGTGGCAAGATAAATATTAGATCCTTTGAGGAAAAACAGGACTTTACTAAGAAAAAGTGTCAGCAAAAACAGCCCATGGAAAAACGTTTAGTTTACAGCGGCTTGCAAAAGTACTTTGCACAATTTGTTTTCTTAGTAAAACTAAAATTACAAAGCAGAGAATTGTGAAGTGAAAGTATGTGTCAAATCCGGCCCGCAAGTCCATTTTTAGCGCTCCCTGTAGCAATTTTCATTTATTATTATTAACTTGCAGCATGGTAATGGGCTACCAAGGCATGTTATACATCTATCTATTTTCTCAAGAAAACAACCACATTTAATTTATTCTAAAATGTTAACCCAACACAGAAGTGAAATAGTTCAATATAAAATGTGTTTAACTTTATATTTGGTCCAGTTTTGGTTAAAGCTAAACAATAAATACATATTGTTTTCTGAAAAATCACCCAGAAAATAGTGAAACTCACGTCACTTAAAAGTACTGTCAAAATACCTTCATAATGCAAAAAATAAATCCCCACTATTCTTTTGGCCCCTGACCAGTTCCTGAACCCACCCCTGGCCTACATCTTGCCCTAATGATGAAATGGAGCCCATCTGTGTGTAATCTTTAAAAGTACTTTAGTATAAATTCAACCACTGTAAACCGCTTGAGACTCAGATCTGCAGTGAAAAGGCGGTATATAAATAAATAAAGATTACTTACTATTACTTACCACTGCTTTTTATGTGCTCTGATTGTGTGTTTCACCATTTGAACCTCTTACAGAAACCAAATGTATCCATGTTATGACTATTTGTATGTGTATTTCCGTGTGAAAGGCGAGGAGAGGAGGACGCCGAGCCCTTGTCATCTCGCAGGCAAAGAAACAAGAAAAATGAGGAGGAGCTTCACAAAATTTCCGAGAACCTTTCCCATCGTCTCGAAGAACTTGATATGGTTGTGAGGCTGAAACTTTTGTTGCTTATTGAATTGAAAATGTTGTGCTAAAGTATTTTCTTGTCGTAGATGCTCAAGCGAGTCCTCTGTGAACCAGGGCAGTCGAGGGAGGACCATCATTCACCAGACGCTCCCAAGGAACAAGGCAGAATGTCTCATCAACGTTCAGGTACCAGCGTTGTTTGTTGAGTAAAAGCCAACACGCACTGTGGTATTCTTTAACGGTTTAAAGAGATAGTAAGATTTCAAGTTTCCTGGAGAAGTTGAACTGGTTTAGACTCGACCAAATCTTGATTGATTGATTATAGAAACCGAGGGTTACATATGTAACCACGGTTCTATGAATCCCGGATGACCGCCAGAGGGCGGTGCATAGCACTGAATGTTCCCTTCGCGCATGCGCAGTTCGAGTAATAATACCAAATGAGTCACACCTGTGACCCCCTGGGTGACACACCGGAGGTAATAAAGTCCAGCGTCATCCAGCACTCTGTTCCTGCAGAATCTTCTCGCGGATGCAAGGACCCTGAGTGACAGAGCGCCTCTGGCGGTCATCCGGGATTCATAGAACCGTGGTTACATACGTAACCCTCGTTCTATTTCATCCCTTCAGACCGCCAGAGGGCGGTGCATAGCACTGAATGACCTTATACCAGCTATGTCACGAAGGAACTTGACCACACACCTCACGGAGGAGAGCCAGAGGATTCCTGAAGGACCACGCCAAGAGGAGCCGGAGTGGCCACATTGATGTTATAGAATCTGGTGAACGTGCTTGGTGTAGCCCAAGACGCAGCAGCACAAATAGTTCCCAACGGCACCCCGCGCATAGCGGCCCAGGAGGTAGAGACACCCCTGGTAGAATGGGCCCTCACCGTGGCTGGCGGGTCGCGGCCGGCCGAAATATACGCCTGACTGATAACGTCAACCACCCAGTGGGAAAGGCGTTGCTTCGAAAGCGGACTTCCCAGTCTAGCACCACCATAAGCAACAAAGAGCTGGTCTGAGCGCCTCACACCTGCCGTCGCAGCAACGTAGGCCTCCAATGCCCTCACAGGACACAGCAGGTGCAGTCTGTCCTCACCCCCATCCAGGGGGGACACAAACCGCGCCAACCTCAAAGGCCGGTTACAATAGTCACGGGAAAGCACCTTAGGGAGGAAAGTGGGATTAGGCCACAAGACCACGCCAGCCCTCTCAGGATCCCAGTGTAGGCATGAGGGACTGACAGAAAGTGCATGCAACTCACCGACCCTTTTTGCAGAGACCACAGCCAACAGGAAAGCAGTCTTATAGGAGAGCCACTTGAGGTCCGTTCGGGCCAATGGCTCATACGGAGGGCGGCAGAGAGACTCCAACACCAAGGCCAGGTCCCAAACCGGAGACCGCGCGGGCACGCGAGGGTGCAGCCTACGAGCTCCGCGTAAAAAGAGAGACACCAGGTTATGGCCCCCCACAGTACAGTTATCAACCAGGCCATGATAACATGAAATAGCAGCAACATATACCTTCAGAGTAGATGGGGCCCGACCTTCATCCAGGAGAGACTGAAGGAATTCCAGGACAACCGCCACCGGGCACGACACGGGATCCCGACCGCGGGAAGAACACCAGCGGGAGAACAACTTCCACCTGTTCTCATACAGCCGCCGAGTAGAGGCCGCCCTGGCATTCAGGAGTGTACGCCTGACAGGGCCAGTGACATCGAGTGCCCGCAGCTCGGGCCAGCCAACGGCCATACCCACAACTTGAGGCGGTGAGGACAGGGATGCCACACCTGACCGTCCAGCTGTGAGAGCAGATCCCGCCTGGGAGGGAGAGGCCAGGGGGGAGCCCAACAAAGTCTGAGTAGCAGTGGAAACCAGGGCCGTGCAGGCCAAAACGGAGCCACCAGTAATAAACTGTGCCCCGCCCGAAGGACCCTCTGGAGGGTTGGCCAGATCAGAGGAAAAGGGGGGAAGGCGTACAGGAGGGCCTGAGGCCAACTGTGCGCCAGGGCATCCTGGCCGAGAGAGCCCGGAGCCCCGTCCAGGGAAAAAAACTGAGGGCAATGAGTGGAGGCCACCGAAGCGAACAGGTCCACCTGTGCCCGACCAAAGAGGCCCCACACCCTCTGGACCACACCGGGGTGGAGACACCATTCCCCCGGGGCAGGCCTCCCGCGAGACAGGGAGTCCGCCACGCGATTGCAGTCCCCTGGCAGATACGCTGCACGCAGTGTAGCCAGGCGAGGCGCAGCCCAAACCAGCAGAGCCTGAGACACCTCGAGGAGCCGAGCCGATCGGACACCCCCTTGATGGTTGATGTGATACACGACCGAGGTGTTGTCCGAACGAATGAGGACATGTTTCCCCAGCAGGTGAGGCAAAAACTCCTGGAGAGCAAGGTGGACGGCCCGAAGCTCCAGTACATTTATGTGGTCTGAGCGCTCCGCCCGAGACCAAACCCCTCGGGCCAACCTGCGCTGCCACACAGCACCCCATCCCGTACGGCTGGCGTCGGTGGTGACCACTTCCCTGCGGCACACTACCACCCCCAAGGGGACCCCACGTGACAGGAGACCGCGGTCCCTCCATGGAGCCAAAGCACGAAAACATGCCCACGTCACCTGTAACCGTCTGTGGCGGTGACGAACGGCATCCAAACGAAACCCGTTCAGCCACCTCTGCAACGGGCGAAGCGAAAGCAGCCCGAGAGGAACCACACGAGAGATCGAGGCCAGCTTCCCCACCAGCTGTAGAAAGCTGACGTAACTGTGCAGAGTGCCAAGACCGAAACGGGACACCACACCGTGGATGTCGACCAGGCGGCGCCCCGACGGACGCGCCGTCATAGTCACCGTGTTCAGACTCAGGCCAAGAAAAACAGCGGCCTGCGAAGGTACCAGGCTGCTCTTTTCGAAATTGACCCTGAACCCCAAGCGGGCGACATGAGTCAGAAGGCGCTCCGTATCTTCCAAGGACCGTGCCCTGGACGGGGCGCAGATCAACCAATCGTCCAGATAAGGCAACACCTTCATGCCACTGGCCTGTAGCGGAGCAAGAGCCGCCTTCACGCATCGGGTGAAAACCCTCGGAGAGAGAGAGAGGCCAAAGGGAAGAACCCTGAACTGCCAGTGAACGCCCCGATAGGCGAACCGGAGGAACCGCCGGTGGGGCTGCGCAATGGGCACGTGAAAATACGCGTCCCTCAAATCTACGGACGTGAACCATTCCCCGGCCCCAACAGTCTGAAGGACTTCCGCAGTCGTCAGCATGCGAAATGGAATGACCTTCAGGAAATGATTCAAGCCCCTCAGATCCAGAATTGGTCGAAAACCCCCCGTCTTCTTGGGCACGAGAAAATAACGGGAGTAATAACCCCTGGGTTGCAGCAGCGGATCTACCGCCTCGATGGCACCCTTGGTCAGGAGGGCGGAGAGCTCCTGATCCAAGATAAAGGCTTTTGCCGGGTCCGAGAACAAAGTAACCTTGACCCGGCCCGACAAGTGCGGCCGGCGTCGGAATTGCAGACGGTATCCGTGGGTCAATGTGGCAACCACCCACGGATCCCGAGCTCGAGCAGCCCAACACTCGAGCTGCTGATGGGGAAAAATGTCCGACGCTCGGCCCTGAGGCGTCAATTCCGTGCCCCCCGCCCCCTAGGGGCTCTGGGGGGACCCCGCCCAGGACCAGCCGCGGCGCCACTTGGCTGGCGGGTCGGGCGCCTATGTACGGGTGGGGCACGAAAATTCCCGGCAGGCCTGACCTGGGGAAAACGCTGAGCACCAGTCCAATCCCGAGGAGGCTGCCGAACACCGGGGGCCACCATCGGGCGCAAAAACTGCCGGGGAGGGCGCACCACCCTGCTAAGGCTAGAAAGTTGCTGTCTAGTCTGACCAGCATGGACAGTCCGGTCCAATGCTTCCTGGGCCGCCGTCCCAAACATCTGACCCGGCTCGACAGGCACGTCACGGAGGGTCCTACGACAGGCCTCAGTCAGGGGAGACTGAGCCAGCCATACCTGCCGACGAGCCTGTACAAGGACCGACATGACCCGTCCGAGTTCCCTGGTCATCAAGGCAAAAGCGTGCAGAGCTGCGTCGCTAAACGCAGTAACATCAGTGCCCACAGCACTACCCTCTTGGAGGGAGGCAGACAGGGCAAGCAGCAGATGCGCTAAGGAGTTACCAATACGGCCAGCTCGAGCACCAGAATTGTAGGCCTTTGTTAGCAAGTGATCCGTCGCACGACACTGGCTCCGAGGGCACCTCACATTCTCCCGCAAGGACTCCTCCGGGGAAACAATGAGGGAGGCAACCGCCGGCTCAACAGCCGGCATGCAATCCAGGCCAGCCGAAGAGGCATCGTGCATCGCGGCCAAAGCCCGACCCTCAGCCGAAAGCTTAGAGAGACGGCTGGGGTCCCTCCAGCACGCGTGTAGCTCCTTCAGATACTCCGCGGACGGGGGCACAACAAAAGCAGGAGACGAACCACCACGCCTGAAAAAAACACTGCCAGGGTCAGCCTGTCCCGACTGGGGAAGTTCCACCTGCAGACGGGATAAGGCCCTGCGAAGAACCTCCTGCATTGAGCCGTCACCAGACCGGCTGGACACACTATGTGCGGAAGAATAAGCATCGTCCCCCGTAAGGGACCGCGCGTCATCCTCGTCCCGGAAGCACGAAGCAGATGCCGCCAGAGAAAGCACATCCTCCTCCGGATGGAGGGATGGCATGGAGCAAGAACCAGCCCCAGAGACTGCATCAGCAGCACAACGTGCCTGGAATGCAGATTTCATCGCCTCCAACTCTGCAGATAACTGCTCCACCCTCGACACCAGGACAGCATCCGGCTTGGCCTGCTTGGAAGGACCATGGCCATCAGACCGCTCCCCTGAAGCACAGGCCTCAGCACGGCGCTTAGAACGCCGAGGGGGCGGAGCCACAGCAGGTCCCACTGGCAAACTACCACCGTCGCCAGACGAAGGCAGCTGAACCAGCCTCGCCACCCTAACAGCCCAGGGCAAGCAGCTGCAGTTCATGCACGGGTTATCGGACACTGCCTCCCTCAAGTGAGTGGGGCCGAGGCACGCCGGACACAGGTCATGGCCGTCATCAACATCGAGTGCTGACCCGCAGCCCACACACGCATGTGACCCGTCCATAACAACAAGGTTGTATTTGTTTTATTATTATTTTTTTTTTTTATTATTATTATTAAATTATTATTCTTGTTTCGACTGTGTCGTTAATTAAATATGTAATTAATCCCCAACGGTATACAAACTGCAAAACTGAATCAACGTACTGCAGTTTCACAACAGAAAAGCCAAATATAGCACGGTGGAGGAGCGGACGCGCGAACAGCAGCCTTCACACCACACAATGCACCCGCAGCAAAATGCCACTCGAATAAAGTAGTGATGGAGGAGAGGGCGCGCGAACAGCAGCCGTCACACCACACAATACACCGGCAGTAAAACGCCAACTCAAAATAAAGTAGCGATGGAGGAGAGGGCGCGCCAACAGCAGCCTTCACACCACACAATACACCGGCCACAGAATAAACACAGGCAGCAAATGCTAACCCAAACAAGAACTGATGGAGGAGCGGGACAACGAACCGCAGCCTTCACACCACAGAGGACACCGGTAATAAAAAACGAACCCAAAGAAGAACTGATGGAGGAGCGGGCGCGCGAACAGCAGCCTTCACACCACAGAGGACACGGGTAGCAAAAACTAACCCAACTAAGAACGGATGGAGGAGCGGAACCGCAGCCTCACACCACACAGGTAGCAAAAGGCTAACCCAAATAAGAACCGATGGAGGAGCGGGCTAACGAACCGCAGCCTCACACCACTCAATACACAGTTAGCAAAGCTAACTCAAACATGCACAGGCGGAGGAGCAGGCCAACGAACCGCAGCCCTCACACCACGAAATGCACGTACCAAAAGAAAGTACTGACGGAGGAGCGGGCGCCACAGCAGCCTTCACACCAACCAATACACACGCATATAGTACAGAAAACACCGATAAATACCCAAAGGACAACGTCACCGTCGCGCCCCACGGAGGGCGAACCGCAGCTCCGATGAAGAGGGCTCTCAGCGACAGACGTTGACGAAGTTCAAGCAACAACGATTCGAACCGCACGCGAGAAGAAAAAAGGAACAGAGTGCTGGATGACGCTGGACTTTATTACCTCCGGTGTGTCACCCAGGGGGTCACAGGTGTGACTCATTTGGTATTATTACTCGAACTGCGCATGCGCGAAGGGAACATTCAGTGCTATGCACCGCCCTCTGGCGGTCTGAAGGGATGAAATAGAACAAGGGTGGGATTAAATATGTTTTTTTCTTCTTCCCACTCCTCTTCGATCTGCACGTGTTCTTCTTATTTGTATGATATTATTAATTTTCATTATGTAAATGTTACTCCGGGTTAGTTATGCACAATTTTGATATTCTACTTTTGGCTCTTGTACACTTATTTGCTCAAAATAAACTTTATTATAAATTTATAACAGACATTTTACATTCATAAATATTTACACAGTCACACACAAAGTCACACACACAAAATTAAAAGTGACTATTGGAGTGTGAGTTTTTCAGTCCTAGTGTAGATTAAAGCGCCACAATTTGCTTGCTTGTCACCAATAGCTTAACTTGAATCTGTGATTATGTGTGGATTTCTTAGACTCTGAGCCAGAGTGCAGTCACCCGGGCCGCTCCGCGTCTCCACGCCAACCTCCCCAAAGGACGACTGTGGAGGACGCGTTTTTCGTTGACGATGGAAGACAAAGCAACGTTGTGCCGTCAGATCCGTCGCAGCGCGGAAAACCGGCTCACAAGCTTTCCCAGCGGAAATTGTGCAGGGTATAAATATTTGTTTTATCACTCCACCTGACTGGGCGCTACTTAACAACACAATGAGGGAGATTTAAGTGTTTGCAAATGTTTTTTTAGTACCTGTTGAACAAGATGTACCAAGAGGAATTGGAAAAGTGCGAAGACAAACAGACAGCGAGGCTCGACCGGGAGCGCCGCCGAGCTCTGGAAGCTGTGAGAAACTTTTATTGTTCATTCTATTTGTGCAAACCATTGGGATTCAGTTTTAGAGTTCATTTGACTTCAATGATAACTGCAAATTTGAAGGCTCAGTAACAAACCTCCTATTAAAGCTAACTTTTACCTCTGCTTAGATAATGCAACTGTCCCAATAAAGTTTTTATGGAAAATAGATAAACAAACAAGCAATTAGAAAATACGTTATCTTGCCCTGAGTCACTATTTGACTCTGGTATTCAAGTATTGTTTGTCCAGATTTCATGTTTCTGACTGGAAAAGCTGATGTCACAGAAGTCAAAAATAGATGCATGTGACTTATTACTAACACTTTTTTTCTAACTAGTTCTTTGCTTAAATGGCTCTAATTTTGGGAGTGTGAAAGTTGGGTACCCCAGTTCTGGAATACTGGTTAAAAACACGACCGACCATCCATTTTCTTCATCTTCATCCGTTGCCAGGTCACGGGGGCAGCAGTCTAAGCAGAGACGCTTAACCATAAAATGCTATATTTAAACTGGTTCAGGGTTGGCTCATCAAATCCACAATAAGATCTTTCATGTTCAAAAATAATCATGAACTTGTGATCGTTATGAAATGGCCCATGACTGAACCTCATTGTGTTTGTGAAGGAGCGAGAGTACAGAGAGACCATCCTGAAGGACGCTTCCAAAACTCACAAATTCACTCCAGACAAACGGAAACCTCAGCAACGGTCTGCTCCAGCCTCAGGGCGACGGCCGCGGGACACGCCACGCAAAGAGCCAGACTGTAAGTTACAACAAGTGTCACTGACGATTCAAGAGGGAAAATAATTATTCTCACTTGTTTATTCTGGTTTTAAGCACATTTTGAATAAATGAAGGTGGTAATAAAGGGGACTAAAGCTTCCTCTAGTGAGAACATCAACAAATACATTGTCACTTGGAAATATGAACAGTTTATTGTAATCGCTTTTCTTTTATATTGCTGCTGTTCTTGTTTTGAAAAGTCTGGTGGCATGTGTTTTAGTCTATTTAACAATCACAATTATCCAAATGAAATTAGTCATTCAAACGGCAAATATGATTAAATTGTGATTCTAATTATGTATATATTTTGGTTTTTGAATCAGTAGTCTAAATTACATTACTAAAATATAACTCTAGATTTGAAGAATTCAGTTTTTCTTTTCCATTGCAGTTTTTCACTAGTTTTTATGTAGTTGGGCATTTGGCAGTCATTTTGTTTTCATTTTAGACCATAAACAATGCAGCAGTTATACAGACTTGCAAAAAACAGTGTAATTATTTTCCAGATCCGTTACGGTTTACTACAGTCTATTAAAGTCGAACTGTTTTCTGATACATCTTTGTCCAGTGAAAGTGAAGGACAATGACCTTCTGCCGGTGCTCGCGGAGGAGCTGCCTCATCTTCACGTTTCGTCTCGAGTTTTGAGGCAAATGTGGGAGGAGCAGATGCAGCAGGTGGACAGACTGCACGCCATGTCGTCGCCACGGAAACAACGATGCAACAAAGTCAGCCAGCAGGTACTGGCAACACGCAGCACATCTGTATATGTAATAACATAATAATATAAAATTGACAAAAGCTTAATCCACTAATTTATACCGATTCATCTGCTTGGATTAGGCTACAATTGAGTATAATAGTGTTTGTTTGCCTTTATGTAAGTACAGGTTTCCAAATGGATCAAGCATAAACTAATCACATTATATAATTAATTTTTTTCCTCTTTCAGTGTAGATTTTGTATACAATACACGCTGGACTATTAGACACACCTGTATATACCCCACACCCGCTGCATTTGAAGAGAAAGTACATTTTGTCCACATTCAGGGCGCACAGATTTTAATGTTATGTGTCACTTAAGCAGCTGCTGATGGAGCAAAACAAAGCGAGTGATATAATAATGATCAAAGCACTCTGAGAAATCCAATCTATTTTGACAATAAACGTTCTTCGTTCCTCCTAATTATAAAGTAAAATGTGAAAATAATCAGTCCACAAACAAACCCCATGACATAAAAACAAGTCTTGTGTATTTCCCAACACTTCCTTGTATCTGCTCTCAGCTATAAACGCATTGGGAAGCGTTACGTCATTAGCTGTAGATGGCAACATAGCTCTGTCTAAATCTTTTCTCCACAAAATAAAAATACGTACATTGGCCGCATTGCTACGTTGGCTGCTGAAATGACAAAAGTAGCTTCTTTTATTCCGGCAATTAGAGTAAATGTGTCTTGTTTTCCCCCCTGCAGTTGGAAGAGGCGCACAGAAAACACAACCTTTTGGTGGGGATACATCGTAAAGATCAGGAGCACAGCAGGCGACTGGTAAAGAACTTGAAATATACAAGGATAGATCCATGAAAGTTAATTAGTGCGTATGAGCAAGAAGTATTTGACCTCTGATCTGTTTCCTTAGATAGGATCAATATTTAATTTGAAACTGTGCCTAAGAATATAGTTAAACATATTTCTATTGGAAAATCTTAAAGCAGGGTTTTAACTTTTCCCCCACACTAATATTTGTCTTTGTTCTAGGAGCCTTTCTCTTGTCAAAGTAGAGACCACAACATGCTGTTTTTATCTTATTAGAAATGATGTTCTTTTGTATACTGTGAGTCAGTATGAGGCTTTGAGCTGATTAGATTCAAAATGACCCGCCACAGATAATTAAAAGTAGTTGAAAAACACCCTAATTTAGGATCTAAAAAAGTGTAACTGACCCAGGACTGGTCAAGTTTTGAAAAATTATCAAAATTCAACTTGCATTTTTTAATCACTGTGGCGGGGCAATTTGACCCGAAGATAGCACAAGGGTTAAATGTGAGAGAGCAGGGAAGCTGTTGTGTGGATTTTTTTTTTACATACCATAGTACCCCAGCTTAAAGTACTTAAAGGTGCAGTATGTGATTTTGTTAGCTTAGCCGTAGCACCAACTCGAAACCACTCCCCTCGCCTCTCCACCAAACCAAACATCCAGCATTTTCTTTTCTTTGTCACAACAGGGAGAGTGGGTGGCAAACGTGTAATTGGCATTTTATGTTCAGTCCTTTTTAGGTTTTAGAAGATCTGATAAGGGTGAAGGGGGGTAAACGCATCCCATTGGTTTATTTTTATTGGACCGCTCCAAAATATTTTGTATTCATTTTTGGCATCTGGTCAATTCCATTACTATTTCAAAACACATGATTACTTGACTTTTTTTTAGGGTTTTTTAGGTAAAAAATCACTGACTGCATCTTTAAGTGCTATTAAAGTTCATTTTCTGAAACTAATGTAATTAAAGTGGAACTAAGTAGTAATTAGTTTTTGATTTATATTGTGTGTTATTGCTGTTTTGTTAGCTCTCTTCCTTCCCATAACTTGGACTGTTAACTTTGACTGGAGCATGAATTCACAAAGGTTTCTGTCATTATTTAGAGGGATTTTAAAGAGCGAATCCAGCAACAGAAGTCGACCCAGAGCCAGCTTCGAGAGCAGAGGCAGCAGATCGCACGGGCCAAGAAATACCACAGCGACTTCCACGTCCAGCATCGCGCTCGGCTGATGAAGGCCCGCACCAAAGAGGAGCGGGTAGGTCGGCCTTGGCTTCCCTTTAACTATGTGTCAATGTTTGTAACCGCGTGTGTGTGCAGATGTTCCGGCAGCTGTTTGAGGACGGCCTGTCTGTTCAGAAAGATCGATTACTGGAGCAGAGAGCCTTTGCCCGGGAGCAGCAGCAGGAGCAGCAACGACGGCAGGAAAACTTCATCAAATCCATGGAAAACTACTACAAAGACCAGGTAGGACACATGCCCGGGTCCAGACGTACTGTGTGACTTTCTCTGCTGCATAATTATCACACAAACATAAATCCTCCTTTGTTCTAGTTTTCATTAATGGCTGAAAAACTTGCACAAGAGAGACAAGATATCCAGGTTCGAAAAAAAGCTCAAGAAAAGGTAAACTGTTTTTCAAGTAAACATTTTCATGCTACAATGATTTACTCCATCATTCAGTCAATCCTTCAAAGTTCTCTCATTTCAAACGCAGTGTAATTTATCATCTTTGTCGGGCTACAAATAAATATGGTTCTTTACTGTGAAGCCTTGGATGAAGGCTGAAGAAAAGGTAATTTGGTCACAATTGTAAAGCAGCAACAGTCTTGATTTATTAATATGTTTTGAACAATCCAACATTGTTCACTACATGCTACCTTGAGCGAGGATGATCCAAAGAGGCCGAATACACATACATGAATATGAAAACGAGTAGAGGGCTAAGAACGAGTACTTTCAAATTGAGTCGCTCCAGATTTAAGTAATCCCATTTTTAGACTGTTTGATATGAGACAACTTATGAATGATTCATTTGATGCTTTTTTACCGTGTAATATATTAAGGTTTCAACGAGAGGCTGCACATCCCAGTGGCCTGAACTAGCGTGCTGGATTCAAAAAGAGTGCAAAACATGAAAACACACACATCTGCAGTTATGTTCCTCCAAGTGTCCTTTATTTACAGACCATGAAGTAAAGTTTCGGGCTGAGGCCCTTCATCAGACTCTTGTATCGAGAGAGCCGTAAGATCAAATGAGCATTTGTTTAAAATTTCAGCCCAGCGACTACAGAAAGTTTCGCTCTTTGCCGATGATTTGTCCTTTGTTGATTCTCAATCTGCGTGGGATCCTTTTCACGTGCATATAGTCACTAAGTGTCACCGTGTGTAAATACAGGCGTGTGTTTGCAGTTGCTCCAAGTCGGTTGTCAGATCAATGATGAAGGGCCTCAGCCCGAAACTTTACTTCATGGTCTGTAAATCAAAGACACTTGGAGGAACATACCTGGATTGTTCTGTTTTCATACAGTGTCGTATATTATCACATCAAAATAGTAAAGAGAATCCAACTTACTTTCATAGTTGGATGCCTTCAGATAATATTTAATTTCAGGTTTTATTTTCAATAAATTATTGAAGTTGTATGTCCAAAGACTTCCTGCGCCTGTTTAGACGTTTAGACTTGCAAATCTGCACCTCTGACCTTGTTTCGACTGCTCTTGCTACATGTGTTTGAAATGGAAGCTTTGACAATAATCCTACACTATAAATGATGAAATGATGTTGTGTTTACATTGACAAAAGAGACTAAAGCTAACTCTCATAAGCGCAATCCAAAAATATTCATCATTGTGGTCCGAGAGCTGCAGCGGAGTAACTGCTTTCTGATGCAGGCCCTGCTGAAGATGAAACGAGAGCTGCGCAGTCGGATGGAGCGGGAAATCAAAGAGCTGCAGAAGATCATAGTGGAGAACGATGAAGACGAGCACTTTCAGGATCTGGACGTGCAGAGACTTCGAAACCGCATCCATTTGGCGTCCTTCAACTACAGCACTAGTTACCTGCAATAGAGACTCGGAGAATGGCTGCATCCAAATTCAGCGTAAAAACACCTCCTTATTCCTGTCCTTTTTATGAGACTGTAATATAGTTAGACCCTTCAACACCTTTACTTTAACTTTTTATAAGCTCCATGGGTAAAATTTTAATAAATAAAATATTAAGATGAAAGAGAAGGACTTGAAAAGAGGTGAATTCAAATGCAGCCAATGTCTCCCTTGTGGATTTAGATCACTCATCGATACCTCTGCTTCCTCAGCCGCATTTGCACTGAAAATAATACAGTACATAGTTGCTGTCACTAATAAGTCTGGACCTACTAAAATAAACTAAATGTTTATATATATATTGATTCTTCTTCTCGAGCTGCTATCTCTTACTGTATTTTATGGATTTTAATATTCTATGGCCGATGTATTGATCAGCAATATTGAGTTTAGCAGACGTCAATTATTGGTCCGATACTGATCATTGCGAGATATTTGGCACCTATATTTTTAAAGATACTGCTGTGTGCTCATTTGTCATTGCCATTTGTCTTCACTGCATGAAAAACATGGACGCAATTGGGCAGAAATTACTGTATACACAATCATGCAACATTATTTATTTTATATACCAGATGGATACATATTGTTACTGTTTGTAAATTTGAAATCTTTTCTATAATCTGTATCTCCGTGATCCACATCGGACCATCCCACAGTGTGCAGTCAGTGTAGCAAGAATCCACAAAAGTTCTTCCTTTGCCAAACCTGCAAGTCTGGTTCTAATGACTTGATCTCGATGCGTCTTCCTTCATCTAAACTTTGATTAATCCACTTGAATAATTTATTTTTTAACTACAGGATTTGGTTTTGATATGTTTGTAATGTGTGCTTTTCTAATCAGCCTAGACAATGATGATGTTTGATTGTTTTTAACCTTGGACCTAAAAGATTTGGACCAAAATTCAGTGCAATGTGTGAAACCGTGTATTGTTAATGTGCACTACGAGCACACACAAAAAAATAAATGTCTGCACTTGACAAACTGTGTCCCATTTTGATAATCTAGCTTCTGTAAATGTTCATCATAGGAGGCCCACAATTATCTGCTCAGAGATGTTGGTTTTAATTAAACAGCTGCAAAGAGTGTTTTGGTTGCCATAATAATACACCTAACTTTTGGATACTCAGAATGGGTGAACTTCTATGATTTATTCAGTGGTGACAAGTTATGGCTGCCCTGGTATTAGCAGAGTATTAGCAGAGGGAAACAAGTCTGTCGATCTGAGCCACTGGCCCCTCTGACCATGACCACATTTATTCACACACAAAGACTTGGGCTGGATCCTAATGGAGCTAAAGGCAGAAGCTAGACTCAGCTATTTGCTATAGTTTGAAGTGTCCAGGTCCAGATTCATCCTTTAGGCAAAGCTGGTGTCTTAATAAAGGTCACTCTCCAATCACAGCACAAACCAGGCCCTGCCCTGCTTAGCTTCAGAGGTCAGGCTTCATGCAGGTTATATTTTAGCATTCTTCCCAGTTTTACAGAAATAAATACATTAGATTGTAAACCACGACATAATGCTTGGGATTTATGAAACTATTACCAAGCAACTTGACAAAATAAGTTGTCTTGTCTATAAACCTGAAAATTGAGGTATGTCCTTAAATATTTAAAAATATATAGGACACAGTATTATATGGGTTTTTATAATTAATTCTTGCTACTTTGTCATGCTAAAGATGGAGATTAAGACTTCTTTCCTTATTATGCTAAAGATAGATTTTAGTAAGTAATCAATCTTTTCATATACCACCGTCCACAGACCAGAGTCAAAGCAGTTTACAATTGTTATTTTTGGGCATTTGTCCTCTCACTCCACACAGAGAGGGGAGCGGGGTACCGGAGGCGCATGGCAGACCTATTGTACATGTTTTTGGTGGTAGGGGAAACCGGAGTACCTGGAGGAAGCCTACGCAGACACAGGGAGAACATGCAAACTCCACTCAAAGGCCCTGGTCCGAACGGGATTCGATCCCAGGGCCTTTTTGCACACCCATTTTATGCTACTTAAAAATTTTATTTTAGTATGGAGGGCCTATTCATTTATCTTGTGCTCATTTCTACTGTTCTGTAACTTGTAATGCAACACTGAAATTTCCCCACTGTGGAACGAATAAAGGATCTCTAAACCTATTCTATAGGAGACACTCAAAAATCCGGCTTTGAGCCTCTCTAAACTGGGATCAGAGTCTTGTGCAGTCCGTTTTTCACACAGACACGATCAGCTGAGTGTCTGCAGAAAAGACCAGAGGACATCGTCGTATGAAACATAATGCCGTGAAGTCCAAACAGCATAGTTTTATTGCTCATCTTTTTGCAGGGATTTAGTCTTATGTACAGGTGTCAGTTACAAGCTCACGAAGCAGCCGAGGAAGAAAAACACACAAATGGAAAAAATAAATACAAAATTGGGTAGAAAAGAAAAGTGTGTATAATTAGTTTGACTCCAAGTGTAATTAAAAAGAACTAGTTTTGCAGTGGAATAAAATACACAAAATGAAAGCTATACATTTTATTTTCATAAAATAGTGTTAATTTTCTGCGTCTCACGCCAAGAGCACAGGATTGACCGTTGATTCTTGGTATGGAAGCACGTTCCCCACAGAATAGCAAGAGTAGAAGCTGTGTTCATAATGTTTTTTTTTTTTTTTTTGGGTGAATGACAGAAACAAAAATGGTAGTTCATCCGAGTTGGGACCATAAACGTTTCCTGCGACTCACAAACACATTACGGTAAAACAAGACAATCCTACATAAAAATATTATTGTGAATCGTGTAAAATAAACTGGCTTATACTTATAAATCAAGGCCAAGAAAGTAATCACCTCAATACAATGTGCTTTTTAGTGGTTGACAATGTGTGGCATTCAGGGACTATGCATTGGGACGTGGATATTTTTTAACAACTTGTTTGAGTAATAAACTTGAACCCCATTTCATATTTACTAGATTTCAATTATTCTCGCTGCCCTCCTCCTGCTTCCTTGCTCAGAATTAAAGCCTAAAATGGTCCTTGTAAAATGATCAAATCTGCAAATCTCTAAACCAGGCGTTTGACACTGTAGGAACTCATTTCAGCTCCTAGTCCTCTTAAAAAAAAAACTAAAAAACATTTTGGATGCGTTCACACATAAGACGACCCCAAGTAGAGAATATAGACAGACTTTAGGAGACTTTAGCTGCTGCTCTGGGGTTTTCCAAAAAAAAATCGCTTTGATGACATTTGTGTAAGAAAAATTGCAGCATTTTATGTGCATTTATCTGATTCTCTTTAACATAACCCTCTATAATTCCCCATAAACAGTAAGTTAGTTATACAAACAAAAAAATACAGTAACTATAATAATCAAACTATGACAAATTAAATTCTCATTGGATTCTTCAACAGTTTATGATTTATAAATTTCCTTTCACCGCATTTCTCCACTGAATAATTAATCACTTTTTTTCAGTATAAAAAAGTGAATTAAAAAAAAATATAGACATGGATTTTGTTGGAAGTGTTTGTGATTTGAAAGTGAAGTAACCCTGCTTTAAATCCAGATGTTTTCAGTGTGAACGCAACCAAAGGGAACTGGTCCTGGTGCAAATACGCCTGAAAAAACTTTAACAGCCATGTTTTATAGGAATTCTGGATAATGTGCTTCTTAATTAATCACATGTTGGGTCCTTTCACATACAAGCCTTACAACATCCCAAAACAAAAAACTTCACCTGAGAAAGTTCTCTGGCCGACACCAATCATGCTCGCTTTAAAACAAATAGAAAAAAGCCACAATATACAAAATAGCTATGTTTTGTACATATATACTCAATATTACAGGCAGCGATATACTTCTGTATTACTAACGTAGGTGTATAGCAAAAGTCAATGATACATTTGATTTTAATGATAAAACCGCACTAATCGCTCATCTTGTAAAGTGCTGTCAAGTGACCATACAGGAAAAAATAAATGAAAGTAATATTCAAAAAGCTTGTTACATTGATGGCCTGTTTTAATATAATCCCACTACATGTGTTTATTGTACATACTGTGCCGAGGGTCAGCGTACGAAAAGGAAGATCAAACAGGCTTAGAAGGTAGTCAAACATGAAGAGAAAGTGAAATTGAATTCTTTAGACAGAGAAAATTAATAAGGGCTTTTTTGGTGTGGTGAAAAATACAGCTTTTTCATTTGTGCAAAGTATACGTCATTGCCTCATTGAAAAAAAAACATATATACTTTCTTAGAAAAAGATGTGAGAGAATCATGTCTTTTAATAATTGACTCAAACCGTGGACATAATGTACTACATTATGAATGACGTCAAAATGTCTCATGGACTCAATCCTGTGTCTCGTCTTACTCCCGATCGTTGGTTTTTGATTTCTTTACAAGTAGCAAAGAAGGACTTCACTTCTTACCCACCAGAGTCGCAGGTTTAAAATAAGAAAAACAAGCCCATTACTCCTTTTGTCGCGGCCAGGTATGGACGCAGAAAGCCTGAAGTTATTAAGAAATGGCAGGATTTCAGAGGACATCTTGACGTTGTGTATGTGTGAGTACAATAGTCACTTTAGCTTTTTTATGTCTAGGGGCTCATCATTAGGGGAAGTTTAAAAATAAATTTACCACATCAGCATTTCCTACGTAACCAACATGTGTTTTAGGTTAAAAAAAAGTAGTTTCGCTATTCATAAGCAGATAGAGATTATAAATGTGGGGCAGACGGGCTTCTTTACATCACTCTGAAACTCACGGTTTGGCCTCACAATACAACTTGAAAACCTTGTCCAATTCAAATTCCAATTGCGTTTGGAAGAAAATGTAAACGTTGAGGTAGGACGATGAAGTGACGCACTTTCTCAACACAAGCGTTAATTTGTTGAGGTCGAAAACGGCTACTTTGGGCAAGATTAGGAAATGTGTCTCGTACAGTAGCATGGCAAAGACCAATATTAGAGTCGTCTACGAGGAGGGCCTTCCCAGACAATACAAACCTGATCATTTACACAACGCTGATACAAATCAAATTCTATAAACCTTCAGCAGCGTCTTGCATCGGAGATCGAAGGAACTGCATCATAAGACAAAACATTTAGACACCGAGTCAATGTCATAGCAGCTGTTTTGAAACGGTTGTAATGGAAGAATATGGAGCAGTGAGAGGAAGACTGCATCTTGATGGGGTCTGTGTTCTCGACGCAGCAAAAGTCTGACAGTTCTTCGCGAGTCCGTCGTCCCTGCTACACTCACTCCACAGCGAAGCCACACGTCTCCTCGATCGCCGTTAGCAGCTTATCGTACAGTTTGTCGTAGCTCTCGTACGGTGGAATGTCGATCCGGTTAAAGCTGCGGAGAGACAAAGCAAGTCCGTTTAACGTTTGGTGCTTTGTAAGATCTCTCTGAACAACTGAAATAATCGTGACAATCATTAGGGGATTTCTGAGCTTTTTCTTTTTTTTTTGGTGCCACCTCTGAAGCCAAGCAGGGCAGGGTCTGGTTAGTGCTGTGACGGGAGACCTCTGGGAACACAGTGGAGCGGCTGTGGCTGTAAAGTGCCAAACAGTTGTTGTGTTCTACTTAATCCACATTGCCGAAGGGTTCCTCAGCGTTTGTTATCATTACATTTCCTGAGTTTAAATTGTTTGTCTGATCTGTTGGTGAATCAACAACTTTGTGAAGTCCTTCGAGACACTGCTGATGTGATTTAGAGCTAACTGAATTGAATTGAATTGAATAGTGTTTGTAATACTACATCAGGCATATCCAAACCCAGGGCCAGGGGCCAAATGCGGCCCTCAATGTCATTTTATGTGGCCCTCTGTCATGCTAACCCAAAGTAGTCTGAGATCATTAACAAACTTGTTCACTTTGTCATCCATCCAACTTCTGTTAATGGCGCTGCTGTAGCTGGTAAACATTTGTCATTCAGCCAACTTCATCTCTGTTATAGATCATCATAAAAACTGACTTCACTGGCATCGTGCTGTTCTGAGATTTAAGTGGGCGTGATGTGGGCCCCTGGACTGGTGAACTAAAGTGGCCCTCTTACTAAAAGGTTTGGACACCCCTACACTACATAGTCACATACGTACCAGGTGTGGGCTTTTGGCAGGTTGTTGGTGTTGGCATCAATCTGGTGGATGGTAAAGAGTCTGGGTCCCGCAGCTCCTACACAAAAGTAAACAGTTAATATTGTGTTGTTTCTCTTGAACTGCTCTTGTGCTGGAGACCTGTACCTTGTAAAGCCTTGAAGCCTTGCAGTGGCACTCTGGATGAGCCGGTGACAAACTGCAGCAGGCGGGCTCGGCGCTCCTCATCAAACGACTCCACAGCTTTCCAAAACCACTTCACGATGTTGCTGTCTGGAGTGCAGTGCTTCAGACGAGTGTTGGACTTCCAGTCAGTGATGTCAATCTTTCCCAGACCACACACGATTAACTAGGAAGGAGGAGGGAAGATGTTTGATGTAGATGTATATGGGCAGTAAGGGACTATCATGAAATCACACAATACCTCTAGTTCTTTTTCATCGAAAGATTTAAGTAGATGTTGTGGGATGACCTCGTTAAAGCCTTTTTGCAGGGCCAGAAACTGAGCCTCTATCCCGTGCAAGAAGCGCCAGTTCACGTACAACCTGCAGAAGACAAGACGGGTCAAGACGACAAACTCATTCACTAACACAGGTCAAATGCAAAAAAATTACCATATTGTTTAAAGTCCATTTACTTCTGTACCTAAACTTACAATGGAAAACTAATAAATGATTTTGACTCATTACTTGCCAAGTGAGATAAATCAAGCCTTTTTTGTAATGTTGATAATTGGCTCAAAGCTTGTTAAAACACCAAATAAAACATCTAAAAACTTCTCTTAAAAAAGCCATAATCATCATAATTATAACAAACGAGGCGTGAAATGAATGAACCTTTTAAAGACCTAATTGTTTGAGTTCCACCTGTTTAACTGTATGGTTTTATGCCTCATGTGGTGAATATACCTGACATATTCCTTCTTCGTTTCCTCGGAGACAGGGATGCTCTTCCCATTGGGCTTCAGCTCGTGTTGGATTATTTCTCCATAAGCGTTATGCTCGACACAAAAAGTGTGATCCAAGACACCAGTGATGTCATTGTCCCTGTGGAAGAAAAGTAATTTATAAGAATGAAGCCAACATGAAAGAGTGTATTTTAGTAAGTGAGGCAGCAGGGGGAGCCATTTGAAGTCTTACAGGATCCAGACGAGACTGTTATGCAGATCTGGGTCCACAGACTCCATGTCGTCCAGGGTGATGGGTTTTCCCAGCAGCTGTTTGTAAAACGGCAGCGTGAATCCTCCGTCGATGTAGTGTCCGTGGAACACCGCCATGCCCATGATGCGTCCCACAAAATGGAAATAAGACAAATGCTCCTGCAGACAAACATGAACAGAAAATTAATTCCTCCAGAATGTCTTCCACAGAACTGATTGAACAGGAAGCATTTTACCGGGTTGACAGCAGAGTCTGGGTTTATTTGCAGCGTGTAGATGTCGTCTCGTGAGTATTGGAACAAGCCGTAGTACGGGTTCAACATTTCGTGGGACAGTAGATACAGCCATTCTCTGCACATAGTAACGGGTAAGTGACACATGCACACATTAAAGCAAACACAAACTGAAAGTACCTGGCGACTCCACCGTAGTCCAGTCCCTCTTCTCCTCGGAACTTAATCATGAGTCTCTTCCAGAGATCTTTCGGTCGCATCTTCATCACTTGTCGATAGGACTCCTACAAATCATCACAGAGAAATAAAATGGTGCGCAGTATTACTGCTTTGAACAGCTGAGCCCAAACTGAACGACCAAAATACAAACTAACATGCGCATTAAAGTCATAAAGTCCCTGAGACAAATCACTGAGTACATTTTTGCATGATCTGCCAAAGTACTTGCAGAGCTCCTTTCACACTTCACTTTCCCCTGTGCAGCTGCCACCTCAAAGCCAGATGAAGTCATATTTTTCATTGCTCAACTTGTAGTTATGAAGTTATGTCTGGCCCTGAATACGTGCCACTGCAGCTCCGGCTCCTTCTCCCCCTCAATCTCTGGAGCGGCTGAAATCATCCACAAAGAATGTCTTGGTCGAACAAATGATTGAGAGAGCTTTAGACGCAAGAGGAGAGAAAGGCTTTCAGCCCAGTGTTTTCTTCTGAAATCATAAATGGATTCTCAGTACTGGTCTGCCTCAGGCCCTTTTCTGGTGCTCATTGTAAAAGAGAGGGAGGCATGCCAAGAAAATTCAACTCTGTGGGCTGTGGAGAAATCTTCATTCAAAGTATTTTAATGCATACACTTGTGCGAGTCAAAAATTTAACTGTCTTGTTCTATTCACAGAACAGTCGAATGATTTTCTTACCTCAAAGATTTCCTCGCGGCAGACCTCAATGCGACAGTGACCGGCCTGAGGCTGCTGCTGGGAAAGCTCCTGACGCAGGATCTTCAGCTTCTGCACCAGGTCCCTCTTGTATTTGGGCACCGTCAGACACTCTGGGTCTTCAGGCAGCTGGGCAGGAGACAGGGGCTGTGGAGGAGCCCCGGAAACAACTGGCTCTTTATTCTGATTCTGGGGACTGAAAAAGGAAACAAACATGGACGTATGGATTATTAAATATCCATATGAGAAGGGCAATAGGGCATCTTGACTGTTTTTTTCCAGAGTAAAAAATAGTTTCATAACCAGGGACAACAACTCCAAACAGACGGCAAATGTCCAGATGGGGATTCCCCCATTCAAACAGCCAGACGGAGGGGGTCAGAGAATGTGTAAAATGCAGTATATATTTTGCAGTTTTTCTATCTCAACTAACGCAGACGTCTGTTCTCTACAGGAAGTGGTCAGGTTGACCAATTTAGCACCAGCGCCTGTCCTCATTTGTGTCAACAGCAGAGAAACTGTTGCAAATGATGTTGATCTAAACCCAAAATAAGAAACGGTACACTTAGGTGACCTGTTGTTCCAGTGCTGCAGCAAGCAATTAAAACGGGTCTTGTGTGGTTAGAGATGGAGCCCCGTCTACTTTAGTCCAGTGTGGTATCAGTGGTGGGACGCCTGGGTGGGCCCCGTAAAAACATTATCCATCTTTGCTTTAGACTGGGCAGCACTCGCTCCACTGAAGGAGACGCTGAGTTAGCAGAGCTCTCTACAACAACCCACTGTCCTCTGACCAGTGTCCGTCTGTAAGGCGTACAGACAGACACAAACTAAAGCTATGTACAATTAACCTGCAGGAACAGAAAATTATTGTCTGGTTTATCATTTCCCATGATTACCTGATAGAGTTCGAGTTGTTCCTGCCCCTGCTGTCAACACAAAGTGAGCAGAGAAACAAGAACATTTCTCCACCAACAACATATTTTCACATAATGTTTATAACCTCTTGTTAATGCAGGAGGGTCCGTTAGAGTCTTATGAGGTCTAACTAAAAGGACTGTGGCGATGACCCAGGACACTCGACATACATTTATCAACACTGGTCATCTGCCCCTTATGGACCAATACCAATGTATTTTATTATTTGTGTTTGAACCGTTTGATTCTCCGTTCTGTGTTTGCGAATTCAACGGTTGAGTAGAAGTCCTCAGAGATACTAACAGTTGTGATTTAGGGCTATACAAGAGTAAATTGAATTGAAGGTTAAAGGGCATGGATAGGTTTATTACAAACAAAGGATGCTCCAATGGTTGCAGAGGTAGCTGTGCATCTCGGTGGAAGCCTGCTCAACAAGTGTCTTTCTAGTTTGCTATAGGGATTGTAAGTAACAGTTTAATATTTGATATACTTATGACTTGACACACTTACAGTTACATAGTCTTTGACCGTTGGTACAACTAAACCGCCGTTAATGAACAGCCAACTCTGCACTAGAACATCACCCTCGTGACAGCAGCATCCACCCACTCACCCAAACACTTCTTCTACAAAAAACAAAACACATTTGGGCTCTCCAAACTAAACGGGTGCAGTGTTTCACCAGTCTATCCCTGTATAATCAAGTCAGCAGCTATTTATTTTATTGGCAGCTGCGGAGGTTCCACGCGTGTCAAAGAAAGGCTACAGCAGAGCAGTCCTGAAAACCACTTTAGGAAGGAGGGGGGAGAGACGTCTTTAAAACTAAATGGAACGAGTTGCTCTTGGCTGGAAACGTCAAGAACAGTATAATAAGGCACAATTTCAGCACACTTTTTCCTTTCTTCTGAGGGCACAGTGCAATTAAAACGCACTTTAACATAGTTCATAATTTCTGGTTTCCGCACAGACAGAGCATTTGAAAAAAAACGGTAAATAACTATAGAAAACTGACAAAGCAGACTGATGGAGGAAAAAAAGGGCAAGTAAAAGTAAACAAACATGAATAGATGTTGCTATAAAAACTTATACAGTTTGAATAACAGTGCTACACAGGTGGGCTCTAGAGCAGCGCACACAGGTGGGCAGTGATGAGTGCTGAGCAGGTGTGGGGTTAGAGCCACACAGGACACCCCCTGTGCCCCCCGTCCCCCTCCGGAATCAAAGGAGCCTTTATGTTTCCATCTGTGAGGATCAGCTGCTGCCACACTCTGCACCCACTGCTAAAACACTGAGAAACTACGCCAACACTGCCAACCACACAGAAAGATAATGTGTCCCTGTGAAAAAGTCCAAAACCCACTGACCCCACAGTCAGAGCTGAATCACAGAGAGGAGAGCGTTTGCCATCGTTCTTCATAATAAACCTCATCTGTTGTATTTTACAGGTTCAACGGTTGACAAGGAATTGATAAAAATGAGTTTTCTGCCTATTCTAAATAACACTCCTGGTTTTAGACACAACTCTACACCAGCATCATGTGCAAATACATGGAACCACAACTCCACATGTGCAGTTTCTACCTGCTGCATAGAACAGGAAGTGAGGAAACCGCCAGCAGACAGTCTGCACAGACGATGAGACAGTCTCAGACTGAAAAATGCTGCGTTTGACTCTAAAAATCTTTCCGTTTTTGATACTTTATGCAAATATTTTAAGAGTGATGGAACCCAGACAGAACATAACAGCGAGAGTTTAGAAAGACCAATAATAACTTGCAAATGCAAATAAAAACACATTTTGCACTGACCCATATTGTTATTCATTTGTGAAAGTATGTTTCACACAATTGCTTAAAGGCCCAAATCACCAACCAGACGAGACCAAACATCCAACACCTCTGTTGGCTCTTTTTGGCCCAAGCCAGCTGAAAACTGAAAGTTTGCTAGATACACGTTTTCAACATCTGCCAACTCAAACGCCGGGTAAATGTTCTGTGACTGCGCACTCCCCTGGGGGGTGGTGGGGGTGTAGCGGCCACTTAGGACAAGCCAAGTGATGCAAATACATATTATATATAGAAGAGTAAGCCAAGTTGACAACTAGTTCAGCACCACAAGCCCACAGGAGCGGCAGCAGCAGCTCGTTGGAGCGCACACTCGCAAAGCCGTGCCTCTGCAGCCACGGCCCACTCTTTGCACACGCAGTTTGCAAAGACCAATCATAAAACCCGCTCAAGGGGACTTGATAGCACCTTTCTAGCTGTTCCAACGCATCGGAACACACCATCAGTCATCTTTCAGGAAACGTCAACTCTACCAAATCTAAATAAATATAGTAAGTAAGTAAGTAATCTTTATTTATATACCGCCTTTTCACTGCAGATCTGAGTCTCAAAGCGGTTTACAATTGTTAATTATGGGCATTTGTCTCTCACTCCACACAGAGATGGGAGCGGGGCCAGTACAGGAGGGGCATGCCAGAAGTATTGGACATATTTTTAGTGGTAGGGGAAACCGGAGTACCCGGAGGAAACCTACGCAGACACGGGGAGAACATGCAAACTCCACTCAGAAAGGCCCTGGTCCGACCGAGATTCGAACCCAAGACCTTCTTGCTGAGAGGCGAGAGTGCTATCCACTCAGCCACCATGCCGCCCTATACTCTTTTGTAATCCCCAGAAGAGCTTATAAGTGCATCGCAGGCAAAACAGTAGACTTGAATTGTTTGGTAGAGTCATTGGCTAGTGATCTATGATATATTATATACATCAGGCATGTCAAAGTCAAATACATCAGAGGGCCAAAAAAAAATGTTTGCTACGCGCCGAGGGCCGGACTGGTTCAATGTTTCTCAACATCCAGAGGCAGTGCCGGTGACACCTGCTGGCTCGATAAAATATGCTCTAAAGCCAATCCTCATACTGTACATATTAGATGTAATAGACATCTAAGAACATGAAAATAATAAAAAAAAAAAAAAGCTCAAACTTGGTGAAATGTAAAAGAGCAGTCTGGACCTCTTTTCGGGGCGTTTTTTGAATAAATCTGAAGAATGGATTATACTTTGGGAAATACAAGTGGATATTCTTCTTCAATGAACAGCTACGGAGAGAAAGAGACTAAGCAAGGATGGGGAACGTCTAATTTGTTGGAGCTGCAGAAGACGAAAGGTAAAAAACGAATACAGACTGATTTATTTTGTGCCCATATAATGCGTTATATCTTTTTAATGTAAAGTCTGATATCGTTTACACTTACATATAAATATAGCTAAGAAAATAAGCTTTAAAATGATATATAGCTTGTGGCTTATGAAGTTCAAAATACATCTGTTTTTTTCCTCGTTTGCTCCCGCCGGCGGGGGCTAGCGAGCTTAAGGGGTCAATACATTGCCTCAATGGCAGGCAATGTCCCGGGGGCCATAGATAATTCCTTGACTTTGACACATGTGATATACATGATCATGATCAAAAAAAGGATCAACATGTATCAGGTTGTCGCAGAGCTGTAGCCATTTGGTTTGTACTTTCAGACTCAAGTCCAGTGCGGCCAACACATGTCTTACATTATTTTCTCTAGACGCGGCCCCTCTGGCCATGTGCAGCGCTAGAGGGAGGCACGAAGCTCTAATACCAGGAGGTGGATCGACAGTCTGACAGACGCAACTTTGACTCCAATAACATCCACCGGGAGCACATTTCCCCAATCACAGAATCACAGTGTCTGCTCTCAGCTGCAGTCTCTGCGTGCACCTGGCTCTTCATCATTCACATGACAGCATCATTCAACGTTCAAATGTCTTTGAGGTGTGAACACATGTCTGAGTTTGGAGGTTACCTGAGGTTAGTGTTTTGGCTCTCCGGGGCCACGCGGGATCCATTTGGACTCGGGCTGTTGGAAGAACGCAGAAAATAAGTAAAAAGTTCAAGTCTAGGCAACATGGGATGGAATAGTAAACATGATACAGGAAAAGTGCAAGAGAGCGACAAAGGAAAACTCAAAAACACTTTTATAGCAAGTTATTCATTATTAGTCTCTGGGACAAAACCTATGGATTCAGCGCTGTGTTGAAAATATATTGTTTGTAACGTGCATTCTTATAAAAAGGAATTTGGACACGCATCTGCAATAACAATAGCTGTTGACGAATAGACTATGTTGCCTAAACGTTACAGCCCAACCCATGACCTAAAATAAAGAATAAAAGAAAAGTAGTTGTGCACCAGTCAGATCATCACATAGGAATCTAAAGAACGACAGAGAGTACCACCCTCACTCGGCCAACCAACTCTCAACCCAAAGTGTCAATGAGTAAGGGTTCTTTCTTAGAATAGACTTTAAAACAGCTCTGCTTGTGTACAAGTCTCTCCATGGCCTCGCACCTAAATATATTAGTGACATGTTAGTCCCATATGAACTAGCCCGGACTCTGAGGAGCACAGGGACTGGACTCCTGTTAGTGTCCAGAGTCAGAACTAAACATGGGGAGGCTGCTTTTCAGATTCATGCTGCTAAAATCTGGAACAATCTTCCTGAAGATGTGAGACAGGCCTCCTCTCTGACAATGTTTAAAACCAGGTTAAAAACAGTTCTGTTTAGCTGTGCATACAACTGAGGGATTTTATATTTTTATCTTTCTTTTTAATGTACTGTGATTATTTATGTTATTTTAATGCTTTCTTGTTTTGTTCAGCACTTTGAGTTGCCTTGTGTATGAATTGCTATATAAATAAACTTGCCTTGCCTTCTTTCTTACAAGTACCAAAATATTTTTTCCAGTTTTCTACATGGATTATTTATGGAAAAGAAAGTTTACCCAGCTTTAATGTGAGACTATAGTATGAAGCGTAGGTTAAGTCCCCTTTGTGGCAGTGAATAAATTAATCTGATTCTGATGTTCAAACTGTGAGGCGTACTTTAGCACGAGGTGCAGGTTGGCCGACAGCCGTGGGTCCGTGAACTGAGTAGTCCGGTTGTTGTGGTCCACAAAGTAGACTCGTCCAGTGGCAGTGTTTCTGATCTCCCAGCCCGGAGGAAGTGGACCCAGCTCTTCACAGTTCACATTGCTGAGGTCCCTGAAGACAACAAAGTTGTCCATTGAAAGGTTGTCAGAAGTAATAGATACTAAAACTAGAGTAGACAACATATTAAAAAGTAAAAAAAACATGACAGAATTGTACATTTACTGAGCAACTCTAATAAAGACTGTTTATCCTAATCACTATTCTGCACCCTTATTTCTAGACGTTTGAGAAATAAGAAAAGGAACCGCGTTTGTTCATGACTGTCAATGATTAAAGCAGGGAGCTGCTGGGATCTTAAATACAAGCAGCTAAATGCCCCTTTTATAAAGCAAAAGCATTTTATCCCAATTTTCAGATAAAGTTAAACATTCTAAAATCACTGGGGTATCGTTTTTTGGTATGGAGTAACAAGTTTTAACTATTTCATCAATCTGATAAAAATGTGTGGTGAACTGATACATTGATTAAAAGCTTCACACTGTTGTCCCAAGTCTTAACCCAAAAACAACTCATATATATATTTATATATATATATATCTATATATATATGCAAAACCTCTGACTGGATGCAGAGGTTTGCCTTGTATGTGTTCAACATTACATCTGTCTAAACATTTACATACAAATCTATTCTGGGCGATTGGCTCATTTGTTTGGCTGAACTCTCAGTGTAAGCCTGAAATTGGACCAATTAGTTATATTTTTCCAAATTAAAATGAGGCGTTTGACATAGTCCAGTAGAGTCATTTACCTGGGCACCCGTGGGTCGTGCCATGTGCTCACTCCAGTCTGTGTGTGGAGAAAGTAGACTTGGCCCTGCTGCGTGGTTCTTTGCTCTAAAAACAGAAACAAAAAATTAAATCCAACTTGAGAGATAAAAAGTGACGGACGCGAGTTTTACACAGATACAGGGTTTGCTTACATTGGCAAAAGGAAAAGTATGTGTAATTGCTGTGACAGACTAACTGCAGCAATACTGTTGACCTAAGAGTTCCTCAAGAATGGATCCAATGTAATCAATTCCACAGACTGATGAAACTGAAATGTAAAAAGCTTCTCTGTGTCGTTTCGATATCTTTGTTTATTTGGATCATTTCGGCAACAACAGATTCACATTATGTACTTTATTCTGTCACAGTAATATTTTTGAAAGTAATGTAATGGCTGCGTACACACACTTTTATATACCCTGGGAGAATTTACAATTTCTTGGCTATTTCTCAGATAATTAGATAGGATAAAGATGGACGCATAAATCTACGGTATGCAACCTTTTGAGCACAGAAACAGTAATTACTCTACAATGTCTAAAAGAACAAGACATTTTCTTCACTAACAGTCGTTCTCGTCGCTGCACCAGACTTCCTAGTGGCACAGGCTGATTTCCTGCACTCCACTCTTTTCCCTCACACTCTCTCACGCCCAGCTGGTTCAGAGGGTTCACCTCCGCAGAGGTACGAACATTCATCAGAACTTAATATCCACAAAAACAAACTTTCAAAAGGATATATTTTTGAGTGACTTATTGCATTTTCTGTGTTCTAATCATTTCATTTTAATAATTAGGACTTCACTAAAAACTAAAGCCAGAGAACAATCTATGAACTGTTCATGTAGATCCAGCAGCTCTTTAAACCACTTTTTCCCAACCAGGGAACACCGCATTAAGATTAAACCTGACCCACACCTCTGAGAAACAGTATATCAGGCATATTATGGCATTATACATTTTAGTCTTGCACACAAACAAGATTAAAGCTGGGGAAACAAACTTTCCAACTTTCTATTTTCTAACTAACTAGTTTCTTGCTCTAAAAACAGTTTCCATCTCTAGTTTTATTTGTGTATTGTTTATTTGGTTGAGTGTATTAATAAACAGCAGTGCAGTAAATATACCTTGGAAATTGGCCCCAGGCTAATTTCCATCTGTAGTCCCACAGTCAACCTCACAAACACACTGTTTCACCCGGAACTATTGTGCATGTTTTTAGTAGAGAAACAGGAGCATGCAGAGAACATGCAAACTGCTTTGCCTCAGACATAAGCACCACCACTGGGGCCTTTGATTCCAAAATACTCGACACAAGTGTAATTTTAGCTGCAGTAAGTGTTATTTATAAAGGTGGAGCTGGTGGTCGTACCGTATCCCTCCGGCAGGTCGGGCGGCGTGTGCAGATGTGTCCGGCTCATGTAGTTGCGGTGCCGCTGTGATCGAACACGCCGCTCCTGGACTCGGGGCTCTCCGGGGGGCACGCTTGCCTCGGCTCCGTTAATTGGGGTCATCACTGGTGTGTTCTCATCCACCACGCAGCTGAGAGGCCGTCCGGACGGGCTGGAGTACTCCGAGGCCGGCCTGAAGAGAGGCACACAGGTTAAAGCTGGGGTCCATGATTGTAAGAACTATGAGTGATATACTCAAACTGTAGAATGCATGTCCAATAAAGCTCTACATATATTCCTTAATGTCAGAGATGCTTTACGCTGCATTATTCATTCCCTCCGTACACTTTGGTGGCAAGCAGCAACTGGCAGGCTCGCTCTCATAAGTAAGCCCCTCCGACCTCCAGTAATCAGATCGGGGTTGTCAAAACAATAGATTGATCAATTGACATTAAAAGCAATATCAAAGCTAGATACTAATTTGAGCAAGTAAAGACACCAAATTAAAATCATTTGACATTTCTTGAGCATTTAATGAAAATTCAATTATAAACTATCAGTAGTACAAAAGTACACTTAATGGCCTAAAAGGAGAATTTATAATCGATACCAGATTCATATGAGGCGAGGTGCTTTGTGGGAGGAGGTCTTGCCCAAAACCGCAACAGCAGCTGGTTCTGGGAGCAGGATTCTAACCTGAGACCTACCTGTACAACTCTGTTTACGCTAACAGCTATGTATTTTCTTTAGCAAAAAATAAGAAAAACTACCAACCAATGATCTCAGCCCAACATGTCATAGGGCTTTTTCGAACATTTTTCAATAATAACAACATTCAAATCGCTATTTGGATGGAGACCGCATGTCTGCGTCTTGTTATTATTCATTAAGTTCTTATAATACTCTTTCAGCTGGGTGAAAACTTGACTGAAGGGATAAATCTCAAAGGTGGATTTGTGCCAATTAAATATCACAAGTATACACCATTGTAATAAAAAATAATCCTACCGTTAAACCCTGTTTATCTCAAAGTTCATTGCTTTACATCTCCAAATCTTTACTCCATTTACACTTCCTGCCCGGCTTAAAAAAGGACCATTTGTTGACTTACTCCTAATGCTGCACTGATACAGTAGCAGTAGGAAGGAGACCGTTCCTGCAGCACTAAAGCCAAACTAAACACTCTACATGAAATATAGTACAATACTTTCTGCATTACATTTGAAAAACACGATTGCCCAGGTTCAAGGCCGGGCTGGTTGTATCACCGCTGACCCCTCTCACCCTGCACATGGACTATTCCAACCACTCCCCTCAGGCAGGAGACTGCGGAACCTCCTGCCACAAGAACAGTTTCTTCCCCTCTGCTGTTGGACTCATGAACACTTTATAATCCACCTCTGACCTTATGACTGTCACTTTACTGCACTCTACCGCACTCTTAAAGGTCTATTGTGTGCACCTTGTGCGCTTTTATATAGTAAACTGAAGAAATGCATGTAGATTTTTATTTATGCATGCCTTCTTTTTAATTCTGATTTAACTTGTTTGCACCAAGAGCTAAAAAAAATTCCTAGTTTGGGAGTTTCTGTTACTCACATTCTGATTAAAATCTGATTAAAATCTAAATTATAAAAAAAAATTCAAAATAAAAGGTTGTGGTGTCTGTTTGGTTACCTGGTTGGTCTCTCCCATTGAGTTGTTCTAGTAATGTGATTTAGGTACTGAATGCGTCCAGAAGCAGTTCTCCTCTCTTCCCAACTGTTAAAGAGAATAAACACAAAAATAAGTTTTTTGTGTGTGGACAAAATATGAATAGGAACAACCCAGCCATAAATTAAAAAAACGACTTTACACACCCATCAGGCAAGTCATTGTCGAACAGGCGACTACAATCTACCACCGGACCTCCAGACCCAATGCGATCTCTGGATTGGAGACTCACTGCACCAACAGAAAATAGAAATTCCAGAATATATGTTAAAAAACGAAGTACTCAGAAAACTCAGACATTTTTCTATTTTCCTTTTTTCTGTTCTTACCTACTATCTGTCCTCTCACAGTGTCATTGTCATTGGGGCTGAGCTTATTCAGGTCCAGTCTCTGATCTGCAAAATCACAAGAAAAATCTACTTTAAAACAAATCTCCACACGCTCAATATATTGCTTTATTATCAAATAGTGTTGTCCTGATACTAAAATTACAAACTAAACTTCTATACTAACAAAGTATACGCTACTAGAGCTGATATTAACAGGGATTAAGTAATCGATTAGTTGATTACTTAATCAACTAATCTTATTCTTTCAATTAATCTATTTGTTCTTTAGATCCCAAAAGCTCAGTGAATGAGATTTTTTAAATAAATTTGACCAAAACAAAGTGATGCCCCTGGAGAACATTTTCTGCTGTCATTATAGAATTATCAGAGTCATAAAACCTCTTCTTCAAGTCTGTGTACGGTTCAAAAACTTTTAATTACTAAATTAGTTGACAACAATTGCAACTTTAGCTTACAGCATTACTCTGAACCAATTTTATACCTAGGTGCTGATGTAACAATAATCTAACTTTTTACATACATAATACATGACGGTGCTTTTTTATGTAAGCACATGGTTTGATACTGGTTCTGAAATAGATCAAAATAAAAAATCATCACCATGAATATTTTCAGAATCTACTATTCATTCGAGAAAGTATCAATAGACATCCGGCTTGATACTTTTGACCAAGTTCTCTGCTCAGACCAGTACGGGTATACATATTTTGTATGTAGAAGCAGACAGACAGACACGTGAATAAGCACAAGCTAAAAGGCCTGAACAAGATTGGAGACAGAGATACACGCTGCAGTCATTCTATAAACACAGCGTTTTAAAAAAGGATGTCCAGGAGCCGCGCAGCTGATCTGAAACATTAACAACGGACAATGCTCGTCTGTGCACATGAGCGGAAAATTAAAAAAGCTTTTGAATTAAGATTAAGGAAAAAATCTGGGATAGACGCAAAAGAAGCAGAAAGTGGATCAGGGGAAGAGAAAAATGCAGACACAAAGATAAGATAAGAGACAAGATTGTTACAGTAATAATGTTGATGTTTTATTATATAGATTAAGATTATCAGGACGTATTTGGTAACAAAGCAGTTATAAAACATGAAGGGCTCTACAGACTCCCTGTGCATGTGTTTGCATATACCTGTTTAGAGTCTAGACTAAACAAGAGAGTCTAACGCTGCAGAAATTGTAAGCAGATTCAGACGCTAAACACAGACAGAAAGTTATTAAGAAGAACCATCGGAGTCAAAATTTACTGACGACACGCATGAATACATCTTACAACCAAACTCAGCTGCGGATGACCAGCTGAGTTCAAAGGCAGGGCGGACAGAGACAAAACAGAAGAGTCATTTTGAATCGTTGCTGAGTTCAGGACTGGGGCAGGGGACTGAGTCTGTTGCGACAGGAAGTTGAGCTCAGCCAGACAGACTTCTCGTAAACAAGACAATCGCACACATGCAGTCCCCCTGGGTTTGTTTGAGAGGGTGAAGGCATGGCTTTTGCCCGTTTATCTTGGATGAAACGAAGTCATTCCAGTAAAAGATAGGAGTAGAAGAGGAAAAACTGGGCATGAGGAGAGTTTGTGTCCGAGCTGTTCGTAACAAAGACTGGGTGTAGAGACGCTGCCGTCATGTCCCCGGATCCACTTCCTGAGGTTATAAAAAGCATAATTTCTGCTGCGATATTCTGCGAGTCTAAGTGGCTGGTATGGCGTCTGTGTAGGGAGCTTGAGGGTAACTCAGAGGGCAGAGCAGGGTAGTCCAATGGCACCAGGGGCTGTCAGAGTTTGTTTTAGGCAACACTGGTGCCGCTGCGGTCGGAAAACATGTGTGAGCCAAACGCTATTCAGAAGTTAACTTAAAGGTCACCTAAACCCATTTAGAACTCCTATGGGAAGCGTTCAGCGTGACAGTCGGCTTTAGAGTGTAAACATGTTTCAAAGTTGTCAGCAATAGCTCCAACAGTACAGGTTTTATTCAATGAAAATATATATCATTAAGAGAAATGTGTAAGCGTTTGTGGGCATAATCCATTGAACGGAAGAATGGAAAGAAGAAATGCTGGATAAGAAGGAAAACCGTTCTGAATGAGGTGGTTCAGTCTGAGAGAATGCGTTTAAGACAGGTCAGGGAGATGGATTGAGGAAAGGGGCATAATAGATGGAAAGAATGTTAATTGGACAGTATGGTTTTGAGTTAAGTGTATACCATGTGTCAGTATAAACCTGCTGGCAGCGCCAACAGGGAAACTCTGCATTTTGACGTTCAGCACTTGTGTTAGCAGGGAATTTGGACAGAGAGTTTGAGCAGATGTATGCAAGTGGTCAAAACGGTTGCATACATGAAATGAAATGATCATCAAAAAAAAAAGTTGTTACCAAGTTTAGTCTCATTGTTTGGTATCAAGTTGTATTTGATTGGTTCATGGGTTCACAACATGTATTATTAACTGCAACATTGATCTTAATAGTCTTAATGTTACAATGTGTGTAACTAGGTAAAAGAAGAATGCATGCAGGACATTCAGGTGCAGAGTTTACTATAACCTAGTCCTAGTAGATTTTCCTTTCCTTGTTTCATGCAGCTGATGCACTCTCCAGTGAATACTTACAGCCAGTGTCTTTCAGTCTGTTGATGGCATTGGATAAGAGTCGGACGCAGCCCAAGAAACCGGCACCCTGCTTTTTATGGATCTTTTTGTGGTTCCAAACACTGATGGTGATGGAGTCTGCCTTTCCTATATATCTGCAATGGAAGAGCAAAACACATGCATGGCAACTTATTCCAACAAACAACATTGCAGCATGAATAAAGTATGAACTATATGGGGCCAGAGAGCTGGTTTCTTGATGGGGATAGAGAACAGTGCAGACAGTGTTTGCAGCGCAGGCTTCGCGACTTGTAATGAGGTTCATTAGCAGAATCTTAAAGACGCGTTGTGTATGTGCTTGGTATTCTCAGAACAGATGTAGCAGAGGCGACTAGAGCTGGTCTAGTCGCGGTTTGAGCAGAGGAAGTCCCCTGTACAGTCTGAGAAAATGCACTGTAACATTCAGATACGCAGACATAATTACAGCCCTGAAGGCGAAACTCAAATTAAACCACATAATGAACTGGATTCTCAAAGTGGAGCAATGGGGCTTCCCTTTAACACAGGCAAATGCAGCAAACTTACTCAACAATTATGAGGTTTCTTGGGAAAAGCCGTAATTATTATGGCATGAACATCAGTGATTCTGTGATAATTAGTGGCAAAAGTTGAACAAACGGCATTAAAAAGAGCTGTGTCATTAGGAAAGACTAAACTTTTTGACAAAACATGTCATATGTGCAGATGCGTATCTAGACGTAACTAGATCTAATTTATAGAAAAGTTGGTAAAATATGCTCAATGTCTCCCCATAAAAAAACTCATTTCTCCACTTCTGGAAATAAAAGCACTTTTTTCTGCAGACAGGAATGAAGCGGGGAAGTGTTGAAGCCACCATTACTCGAGGCCCAGGAGACAAGCAGTTATTTTTACAACTCAGACCAAGAGAAGCCTTTTGCCCTTCGCTTAAAATATATTACAGTTTGTAGTAACATTCAATACCATCAATTGAGGAACCAAACAACTACCACAAAGCTTCACTAAGGAACCAGGGCGATTGTGGAGGCTGTTGTCCAAACAACTAAAAAGAATTTGCAAAACATACATTTTAAATTTAATAATGAAATAAATCGCTAAGAGCACAGCACTCCACAGGTTAGTTTACAGATATCAAATATAATTGAAATTGTTGAGCATGAGAAACATGAAAATCACATTTTAAATGGTGGTTCCCATAAACACATTAACTATATCAAGAATAAGTATTTACAACTCTCTTTTCTAAAAAGTGAGAAGTAAAAAAATACTCTCACCCCCATCACAACTAAACAAATTAGGACATTGCAACATGACAATTACCATAAATATGATTGCTGCAACAATTATACTTTTAAAAACAAATATTGAATATACATCTTTGTAAATAGTCATTTTCAGAAAGTATAAACATTTTTGCACATTAAATGATTGCTGATGTACCACCTTGTTATAAGCATGACACCATTTGCATTCATGTAATGGTATTTTTTGGGGTTTGGCACAGCTATGTACAGACAATTTGTGTTGAAGCAAATAACAAAACAATTATACCGTTAAAACTATCTAACAGTATAAATAATGTCTAACAGAGTATATATATCATATATATATGAATGATAGTGGTGATTATAAAGGCGAGACATAGGGCGCTGTGGTGCAGGGCACATCTCAGTACAGAGGCTGGAGCTGGAGGTGTGGTGAGCTGCTAAGACCAGACTCCTATCTGCTTTCTATGGCACGCCAGTCATTTCCTGAGCCAGCGGAAGGGGCCAGGGGTCGTTGACGAGGAAACTAGTGCTTTGAGAGACATGCAAAAAAACAACAAAACGAGTGGATTTGGGGTCAATGTTGACAAGAAAGAAACAGGTGTGTGCATTAAAATGAAAATAATCATCCCCAAAGTCCAGACTGACTTACGGAATGAAAAAAATTACATAGACGCAAATATGTGAAATATGCAGGCTGCAGCTGGACTCCAAAATAACTTAAACATTGTCCACAGCCAGTTGCATTTGTTCCCCCCTGTATTTTTCATTGGTCATCGTGTCCAAATCTGTGTGCTTAAAAAGTATTTATCCGAAGTATATAAGAAGTATAAGAATATGAGCATGCTATAAAAAAGATAATAACCACAAAGGAATTTGTTGTAGGATAGTTTGCGGGCTAGTATGTAAAAAAAAAAAAAAAAATTAAATAAAAATTGCTATAAATGTACAGGGCAACAAATGGATGGGAAGACGGGTAAGGGTCGTTTAGAGGGGTGACTTGAATGGCAGATAATGTGAATAATAGATTGGTTACTACTTGTTCAGAAGTCAGCCGCATTAGTTATTCATTGTGAACAGGGTCAGCACTGTTTTGACTTTTTTTATTACACTTCACAGTATTGCTTCCAGAATAATAAACACATTCGGACCTAAACTACTGAGTCAATTTACTGCCCAGAACATTACTTGTAAACATTGTTCCCTCATGTCTTTGCTCTATTGGATAGTCCAACAACCAACCAGAGCAACAAAATAAACATGCATTCATTCACTCATTTCAGTGTCATTTACCTATGATTAAACCATCTTCGGCATATTGGCCGATATGGTGGCATAGTGTGTATTCTGGGAGCCAAATATCAGTCAGGCACAATTAGGCAGTGCTAAGGGCCTCTCGGCGCACAAAAAACTGTCCTGCACACAAGATAAATATCCAGCCTAATGTGATTCACACATGTATTTACGGCGAATCAATGTGATTGACAGCATCCCGTGACGCCAGCAAAACCACGCGGGCGTGTACTTTTACAGTGTATGGACCGCACGCAGGGACCATTCAGAGACTAGAAAAATCAGATACAGAAACTCTCGCTTACATCACTGCTTACATTACTGTTGCTCATCTGTCCATCATTGCATAAAGCCAGCCCTGACAATATGATTTTTTTTTCTTGTTCGGCCATAATTCTTCCCCAATGAAGCAATGCCAGACCGAACTTCCAGTTGGAAAATAATGTAGGCAGGGTTAAAGTTCGGCTGCACGCAGGCTAGTGCACGCCACTTTCGGCGACACACTGCTTCACATCTATTGTAATACTCACAGGTCATAGTGCTGATTCCACTTTGGGTCCAATGTATTTCTCACAGTATCTGTCGAGTGGCATTGTCCTGAGCCGTCCACCACCACTTTGGCAAAAGGATCTGGCAACCCTATAACACAAAGATGCATAAAAAAATGGTTTCACAGTGGTCCAATGTCTCCAGAGGTGTTTAAAAAAAAAGACATTTTAATGATTGACCAAGTCCCAAAAACTAATTGTGTTTGTAATTGCGTTAGACACGCACTCACACACACACACTCACGCACGCACGCATTAGCTGGGATTCCAATCAGTTTGTCACATGAGTGTCTCTGCTCTTTGTTCCTAATTAAAATGAAGGAATGATTTGATTGATCACTGCTGCGATCAAGAACTAAGCCATGGTACAGAGCATAAAAACTACAGCAGAGAAAAATTAATGATTATATCACTGGTTACTGTTCAAAATAACGCAGTAAAGCAGATACCAACAATGGCCTCAATAAAGAAGTGTTTGGTGCCTTAGTGATGACACATCAGGCAACATTTGACTACCATTTATTTATTTGTGTGCGTTTCCCTCTGCGCTGATCCTTGTGGTCAAACCGGTTGGGTCGGCCCAATTCCTTCTTCATAATATTTACGTTTGTTGAGAATCCGACTGCGGGCTCACGGCGGCTGAATAGGCGACTCCTCTCGGTGTCTGTGAGACACCTCAACTGGCAATGCATTTGTTTATAGACAGGTTTATCCAGTTGTAAAACAAATATATCTGATCGCAAACCATAACACAATGGCTTTAAAGCTGATTAAGAGTGGGCAGACACACATTGGACTTTTTCAGCACGTTTCAAAGCTGGTGCCCCTGACAAACCTTTCCCCAAGCAGTGTGATGAGAAGGACATGAACAGTTAGGACAAAAAAATAGGTTTACTCACGAAAGAAGTCTTTCTTGGCCAGGTTCTTGGCACACAAAACTGCAAGAGACAAATAAGAAAACTAATTAAACAAAAAAATCAGCAGGGATAATGTATTATTCAAATTAAATTAAATATTTTGTCAATACAGGATACCTGTACCATGTACATTTTTAGGGCAGTAACAAGTTATTGAACAATACATACATTTATCAATGCTATTTAAAAGTTCACTCCAATAGAGCTGTAATTACTGCAGTCTAAAATAAAATAAAAATATAAATAAACATCTTAAAAGGGGAGTCACTAGTTTGAGGGGATCATTTTTTAAATTTAATCTTTGTTTTTGTTTGATCTATTATTAATTCCCATATTCATTTGCCTTCTGTGTTCCAAATAACCAAACAAATGTGTTATCATTTATGAATGCATGAATGCTGTGTTTAAACTGTTTAAATCTCTGATCTGTCGACCCCTTGTTAAGTCCAAGATGGCAGCTGTTGTGCTTCAGGGCGATACAAACATAAAATTAATAGCCTTTACATTTTGGTGATAATTACATGACAGAAAACACATGTTTTAACGCAGGTAAATCATGTCAAAAAACAATTTACATTCAGATGTTCCTATTGGATTCTAATAGTCAATATTCAATCTAAATATTATCAAATACAAAAAAAATATTTAAAAGGGTTCACCTCTGAACCAACAAAAGGCTTTCTTCTGGTTGGTAAACTATGCTAATCAAGATTATAGGATTACTTGTACATTGCTCCACAGTCTCAGCCAAAGCCAGCGGAGGAGGAACGTTCAGCATCGACATCACAGAACTTATGCTGCTCAGTGGTCACGAAAACTGTCGAGATTCTACATTCACACTGCAGATTCAGAGGTGTATGCAAAAAGAAATTACACTGATTTATTTCTGAATTTAGGACTGTAATCAATAACTTTTCATTTTAATAATTGTTTAGTTGTTAATCAATTAACTTGATACAGCCCCAATTCTTAAAAGAAAACTTAAAAAGAGGAATACTTGCTACCGTGGAAACAGTCTAGATGTGTAGAACAATTTTTTGTAGTTGGATGAAACAAAAGTTGAATTGTTTGGCCATAATGCTTCTTTAATATGGAGGAAAAAGGGGGAGCGAGAGAACACCGTCTAAACTCTGAAGTGAGGGGTGGCCGTTTGTTGCAGGGGGAACTGGTACATTTCATCACGATGGCATGAAGAAAGTATGTGGAACAAAAAAAAGGCCTGATCTCAGTCAATTCATTAGAATATTTACACCAGTTTTGTGTCAGAGGCGATTTACCAAATACTAAATGTTGGTGAAAATAACAGAGGTAAAACATTGAAGTGTACCATTGTGTTTATACTGGTGGCATTGTTCTGGAGTCCTCTGAAGCCAAGATAAGCAGCCGTCACCCTGAGGCTGAAGCAGTGTAGTGTGATTAGTGTGTCCCTGATCGAATGGAGCCTTTCTGTTCCATTTCTTACAGGGATGCTTTATGTTCCATAATCTGTGCATCCAATATTCATCACTTGAACTTGACGGGACATGATTATATTATATTGATGTGTTGTTCAATAATTGATGGATAAAACATTTGTCTGTACATTTTGATTGCAATTAAAATCTAATTTTTAAAACACAGCATTATTCTGTTGATGCAAGTACATCAACGTGCTGCTGATTTACTTCCATCTGTGCCATCAAGTAGTTTCAATATTCTGGTTTTAATCGCAATATAAAAAAATTGTGATTAAAAAAATTGATTGTGGTGGGTCCAACGTAGCTCATATCTTCCAAGTTGGATTTTGTAAATAAAATTAATAGTTTAAAACAAAACCTTGAAAATAAAGTAAAAAAAAATAAAGATCTTGTTAACAGTTGGCGCATGTACTTCACAGCAAGAAGGTTTGCATGTTCTCCCCGTGTCTGTAGGTTTCCCCCACCACTAAAAACATGTACAATAGGTCTGAATGTAATGAGTGGTGGTTGGAGGCTGTAATGTGCCAGGTGTGCGGCGTCTCGCTTCTGTCATCACGGTCTGTGGAGGGAATGGAAATTATCTCTGCACCAACATTATGTGACCTTTGTCTGTGAAATGCGCTATATAAATAAACATTACTTATTCACTTTATTATTTAATTATCAAAATAATTGTTAGTTTCAGCCCTGAATTAGAAGTATCCATCTGCAAGCGCAGTGAGCAGCTCGTCTGTGGCTCTTCTAATGCATATCAATGAGAAGCTGTTCAAACATGTGTAGGGCATTATGAAGGCTCTACAGTCAAAATAATTTGACAGTACATCCTTGAGAGGGAGCAGAAAGTAGATGCCCGAGAGGCGGTGACCGAGTGAAAAGATGAAAAGAAAAAATATCCATTTTATTTCACATGGGTATCAGTTTTTCACTAAACCCATTGTGAATCACACCAAATCATGATATGAAAACCATTTTAGGTCCAGGCTGAAAACGGTTTTATTTAGCTATGCATATGACATTATTTTAACTTTTCTTATTTTATGTATATGTATATGTATGTTTAAGCTTTGTTTTTAATTTCTTGTGAAGCACTGTATAAATTTGATTGATTTCTTATAAAAGGTAGACTGGTTGCAGGATAAGAAGATCTTATTTGAATAAAGTCTGGGAACAGGAACAGGAAAAAAAGACAACGAGAGCCTGCCTAAAAAAGGATAAAACAACAGTTCCCGAGTCTGAGTTGCATTGCACCCAAACCTAGCAGTTCCTAGTCAGAGCACTGACCAGGACTTGGATCTGCAACAGATAACAATATCCTCGGGCAAAGTGCTTAACAAAACCAACTTTGACCTCAAAATGATGTAAATGACACAGATATGGTTACAACTACTAGTGTGACGCCTGGAGGCTCAAGACAGCTGACACCAAACTGTAATAGATGTGCTTGTTTTCAGTAAGATTCTGTGAAACTAGGTCAAGGATCCATGAGTTGTTCTCTGCAGTCAGTGAGATTTACAAGGGAAGGCTCACATCCTTTGCCTTTGGCGGTGTTGTGTCTCTTTCTGGAGTCTAATTCACAGCATTGTTTTAAACGTTTAACAATACACTTCCTCTTCCTCCTTGGGACTAGTCTCCCTCAGCACAACAACCAACAAAAAAATAAACATAGGCAATTTGGCACATTCTAAACCATGTATACATTATCATTTTTGTTAAAGGCAGTAGGTACATTTGTTACTGTGTGGAAATGCTGTCAAACTAACCCACAGCACACTTCCTCTGTGGAGCCATTACTTCCAAGCGCTTTCCCCAGCACAGTGAATGCTCAGGATGCCAATTATGTCATCCATTTAAAAGGTCAGCGGTCTACAGCTGACACACCACTCCCACTCTGCCCGAGTCCCAGCATAGAAGCCCACGACCAACAGTCTGCACTTGCGAGATCATTATTGAAAAGTTAGCTGATAACAGCAGGAGGAGGCAGAGTTTAATTAATTATCTATCTTTTTATATAGCGCTTTTTGGACACTCAAAGAATTGTCACAAGGAAATATCCAATCACTCCATACAAGGGGGTATGGCGTGAACTACTACTGTAGCCACAGCTGCCCAGGGACAGAGTGAGAGAAGCGAAGCAATCAGTTTAGCACTTTACAGCCACCCCACTGTGGCACCTGGTGTTCCCAGGTGCCCCATCTCAGTGCTAACTAGTCACTGCTCTGCTTAGCTTCAGAGATCTGATAGGATCTGACATTCACATGCAAGCAATGCCAGAGTTTGAGTAAAGCTGTGTTCAGACCGCCAATGCTGGAACGCTGAAGCCTCGCTCACCAGACTCACATTCTCTAGTTTTCAGACGCACGGGTCTTCACACCAGAACGTCCTGGCCAGCGCCGGAAGTGGCGGAAGAAGCCGGCCGGCTCTGATGCTAACAGAGTTATGCTAGCGGCTCCTTGTGTACAAATCTTCTCCAATGCACCTTTTCAGCGTGTCTGTGTTCAGAGACCTTCCACAGACTTTATAGAACAGTAGTATGTGTTCACGGAGGTGCGCAATACGTTTATTTTATTATTAAAAGTAGGGCTGGGCGATATGGCAAAAAAAAAAAATCTCCGATTTTTTCACACCAAATCCGATTTTCGATTTTAATAGATTTATTTTTTTCTATTTAAAAACAAACTACAACTGACAAAGAAATAGATTTTCCTTTATGCAGTTTAATCTAAATCCCCATGGAGCATAAGTGTAACAGGAATTAAGCCTTAAAACATGCTTGTAAACGAGATGGCTCTGCCATTGTAAACAGTGAAAATGTAGCTTAACAGTTTTATAATAACTTCACTTACAATGACACTATGCACCTTCAAAATAACTTAAATCACACAAACAAGGCCCATCGCAAATATATCAATCCTATTAAACACATGCATTATTTACATGAAATATCACATTTTTAAAACTGATTACTCAAAATAGAAATGTTGTAACAGACAGTCTTTTCCAAAAGCCTCCTCGGGTTTTCATGCTTGTTCTTTCAACTGTGCCTGAGTAACTGTGCTGTAGTACAACGCTCGGTCCAGCTGGTGGCGCTAATACTAACTTCAGTGACTCCCGCATTGTGCGAGCTTCCTGTTTACATTCTGATGCTGTAGCTAGCAGCTACTGTAGCTAACAGACAGCGGGGAACACGTTGTTTGTATCAGAGCAATGAGAGCAATGTGTGAGACGTGTCTTTCCCCAAAGTGCAGCGGCTCAGTGGGACACGAGTGTGTGCGCGCCACGGACACGGGAGTGCGCTTTGGAATAACGAGCGTGAGAGAGCGTGAAAGATGTGGCGTACGACCGGAGCCTGTGTGTGTGTGTTTTGGCGATTAAATAAAGTCTGATTCTTGAACGTTTGAAGTGTTATTGCAACAACACCAACTGTGAGAGCGAGCATCAGGCCAGAGGGAGACTGTTAGCATTAGGTTAGCTTCAAAATGACTGCTCAACACCATAGACCCGCGGTTAGCGCGTTAGCGCTGGAGAAAATAAAAATCGAATTTTTAAAAAAAGAAATCGCCCTAA